TCAAATAATAATGCACAGTGCTTTAAGTTCAGTTTTGCTATGAAATCCTATAAATAAGATGATGCAGGCATTCTGGAGTCTTTTTGCAACGAAATGAAATATTAACTTTGTTAACTGCCTGAATAATATTACATTATCTTCTATGAACTTAATACTCCTTGAATACATGTATCTGAACTATTTGCTCCACTGTCCCGTTCACAGTGTTGTTGATCCATCCATCCGCCTTCTTTGACGTCGTCGCCATGAGAATCGGTATCTGCCGGCTCGCATGCGATCTCCGAGAAATGGGCCGCGGCTGCCAAAACTAATATTCGGACAGACCGCGCAGGCTCCCCCAGTAGCCCCCGATTCTCCGGATCCGCTGGCACCATCATCCCCGTCCCGCTGGAACGCCCTCGAACTAACCTCAATATGGTTATGCAATCCAACTGCGGGCAGACGCCATCATCGCTCACATTCCCGGCGAAAGTGACACGTGCGGCGGAGAAGACCTGGCACTCTCCGCGGTGCTCCGTGACGTCTTCGTCGTCGGCACACGATCCGCACAGCGGCCAATCGCAGAGCTCGCAGCGGTCCAGCGAATCGCCGTCCTCGCCGAACTGCAGGAACTGGTAGCATCCGAGGCAGACGATGCCGCTGTCGCGCTTCGGTCCGCGGGCGAAGGGCAGCTCCTCCAGCACCAGCTCACCCCGCTCCACGGAGCACGAGGTGGCCAAACAGCGTCCCAGCAGGGCGTCCTCCTGCAGACGGGCCTTCAACATTCTGTCGCCGCACGGCAAATGCACTGGTCCCGCTTTTAGCCCATTCGATTGGGATTACTCGGTCGCTTGGCTGCCCTGCACGAGTGCATGCGGATTCATCTAAAAATAAAGGCGATGCACTTGATTGGTGACAATCAATAAAGTTGTAATATATTTATTGCATTTTGATTGATTTTCGCATTTGCACTCTTTTAAAGAACATGTGCTTGTCCATAACTCTCACTCTCGCACTCTCACTCTCACTTTTTTTTCTATAAAAATGCGCTGTTCCTGATGCAACGAATTTCTTCAAAGAAAAATTTAAATGCAATTAAAATACTAATTTTAAAAATACTAATAACCGTTTGTCTTTGAATTTCCGTTACAAACAGTGTGACCATAAGCCACAAAGGTGGTGCAGTGTTACCAGACTCGCTACCTAGTTCGGGCAAAACGCATTGGATAAATATCTGCAGCTGGTAACACTGCGGCACAGAATTACAAAATTTTGTGGTGTACGTTTGTCGTGGTTGTCTCTGTTCCTCTGCGTTTCGCATTACACTCTAACCAAACTAAAACTCATCAAAAGTAAGTAGTTCAAGGGCCAAAACGCCCAAAAAGCCAGTGAAAGGTAATAGATACCCTATGGTGAAAGGGAAATCAGGATTTTCGGTGCCAGTGATTTCATAACCTCGAAATGAAAAAATTGCAAGTTAGACACGCGCATGAACGAAAAGCAAAAGGGCTGAGCACTTTTGGCTGGCTGACGAAGAGCGAGTTTGTTATCACTAAATGACACAATAATTGATTGATAATTCAGAAATCTAAAGGGGATATTAAGCCGGTCAGCTATCACACACACACGCACACATGCACTCGCCACGCACACCAATGCCTTTACAGTTCATTGGCAGCAGCTGCCGGCGAAAAAAGGGGGCAAAGAAGCAGAGAAAACGATGGAAAAGTGCCTGGCGAATTTCTGTTACGTAACGCATTCGCAGCCAATGTGATTGCGCTCTCGTTTAAATTGTTTTGATCAATTCCGTTCGTTATCGCCATGTTGCCATCCACCAGCCTGCAGCTCGCTCAATAAACATTTTCGTTTTCGCTCTCCACCGTTCTTAATCGCCGTTTTGTTTGTTTGTGGTCATGTGAGGTGGGTGCACTTGGCGATTGCGGGTGGTATTTTCGCAGTGACGTCACCTGGAAAATCAATAGCCCACCTTTTCGTGCTGCTACTCACTTAGCTTCTCTCTGTCCACCATCGATTCCCTGCTGTTATGCAACTTACGAAAAAAATGCACTGCACATCCACCCTCTTTATAACCCGCCTGCCAAGGTCATCATCACCGAGATGCTGATTCATTTGCACAGGGATATCCACCTGATAGTAGTGTTTTCAATAGCTACACTGACCAGGTTATATCACCTGACTTCCGGAAGAATAAGAGCTCATCCCATTTAAGGTTTGGCTGCCGGCCATAAAGACTTTTGTCTGCTGCCCGCCGCTTTTCATAATTTTCCGCCTTGATTGCCTTGATATTTTCCCACCACACCACAGCAGGAAATATTTATATCTATATATCAAATTCAATTAGATATTTTGGGATATTGTCCGATGTTCTTAAATGATATATTTGTTAGACTGGAAATGGATACAAATTCACCGCGACCAATATTCCCACCGCGACTGTGTGTCGCATTCCTGACGTCACGCAAATAGAAACAGCGAAGCAGAGACCAAAGCACACGTTGCAAATGTGCAGTTAGCTTGTGAGTCAATGATCGCTGGCCTAACGGACTGAATTGACCAGCAATTAATGCTAGCGAGAACGGAACGTAAACATAGAAGGCACACCTGTGGCCAGATGGATAGGGAATATCTTCGGCGATCATTATTTTTAATACAATTTTAGTTATGTTATTTTATTTATGTTTCCAAAAACGGCTCGAATATTAAAAATTTAGAATTGAATCGATCAAATTGTATGCATTGGTATCCTTAACTCGCCGTTTAAAGGAAAATTAAGAAACCATTAGAGTTGTACTGTTGGTTTTCCTTCTCCGCTTCCATTTTCTTCGCCACTTTCTTTTGCCCTAGACGAGCAATGACCCCTCCTCAGTCACTCACAATTTTCCCTGCTTCAGTTGGTGATTCTGTCCATGTGGCCGCCTTGAACACTAATTTAAATTGATTTATTTATTTTCGCCGCACAAAATTGACATTTAGCCAAAGTGAAAAGAGGAAATGGCCCGCGAAATTCTTGGGCCATGTTGATGCTCTTTTCTTGTGTCTTTTAGTTTAAGTTTTAGTTTAGGTTTTCATTCCGATTGCGGCCGATTGAACACTTTGAAATAAAGTCGGGCAAAAAGTAATAATCATCATGTTGCTGATAATATAAAATTTATCGTTCTCTAAACGCATTTATTGATCTGGCAAGGAAAGTAATTTCGCAATAAGTACCAGCATCGTGACGATTATCGATTATTCACCAACTAATTGGCGGTGCGATTAAATGCATTCCATTTCAATCCATTCCAGATGGCTCCTCCATCATACAGCGATTTGGGCAAACAGGCTCGCGACATCTTCAGCAAAGGCTACAACTTTGGCCTGTGGAAGCTCGATCTGAAGACCAAGACCTCGTCGGGCATTGAGTTCAACACAGCCGGAAACTCCAACCAGGAGTCTGGAAAGGTCTTCGGCTCCCTGGAGACCAAGTACAAGGTCAAGGACTACGGCCTGACCCTCACCGAGAAGTGGAACACAGACAACACGCTGTTCACCGAGGTTGCTGTCCAGGATCAGCTCCTCGAGGGTCTGAAGCTGTCCCTGGAGGGCAACTTCGCTCCCCAGTCTGGGTAAGAAATAGATACATTTTATTTTATCTGCGAATAATTCATATTATTCAGTAGTTCAAAGCTTGCTTTTGTACCATACTCTGTGATTGTGCCAGATTACTAATTTCTATTATTTTTCATCTCCGTCAGAAACAAGAACGGCAAGTTCAAGGTTGCCTACGGCCATGAGAACGTCAAGGCCGATTCGGATGTGAACATTGATCTGAAGGGCCCCTTGATCAATGCTTCTGCCGTGCTTGGCTACCAGGGATGGTTGGCCGGCTACCAGACCGCATTTGACACACAACAGTCCAAGCTGACCACCAACAACTTTGCCCTTGGCTACACCACCAAGGACTTTGTTCTGCACACAGCTGTGTAAGTATTACATCTGGCACACTTGGTTTAAATCAATCCAAACTAATGGTTGCCATTTTCTGTTTAGCAACGATGGCCAGGAGTTCAGCGGCTCGATCTTCCAACGCACTTCGGACAAGTTGGATGTGGGTGTGCAGCTGTCGTGGGCCAGCGGCACCAGCAACACCAAGTTCGCCATCGGCGCCAAATATCAGCTGGATGACGATGCCAGCGTGCGCGCCAAGGTGAACAACGCCAGCCAGGTGGGTCTGGGCTACCAGCAGAAGCTGCGCGACGGAGTCACCCTGACCCTGTCCACGCTGGTTGATGGCAAGAACTTCAACGCCGGCGGCCACAAGATCGGTGTTGGTCTGGAGTTGGAGGCCTAAGTCCTTGGTTTTCCGCCAATCGTGGAATCCTTGAACGTTGTCTAACATCCCCACACGCCCAACAACAATAACAACAACAGCCAGACAAGTGCAGTAACAACAAGATCAAACAAAATAAAAGATACGATATTCTTCAAGAAAATAACACACAGTCAAATATAAAAAAATCTGCACATCTCAACGATGCGATTGGATTAGTTGTCAGCCGGCCATCTCCACATCCGCCCACTCCCTGTCCCAGCCACCCGAATCTGCAGGAGAGACACTGCCAACAAACGATGCAGGGGGATGGGTGGTTCAATCGATGGGTCGGTCAGTCCGTCGTCGTTGGATGTAGCTTTGATTAGTGCATTGAATATTAGCAAAATTGTTGTTGGCAAAAGTGCAGTAAAAATACATTTACCTATTAAAACAAAACACAAAATGGAAAAGGAATATTATGGCTCAAAAGGCATTGCATTTTTTCAGTTCTCAAGGCTTCAGCGATTGCCTTTAAAATCTCGCGGCGAAACTAGGACACACATAACACCAAACCACATCCTTATTATCAATCTTTACCTATTCGTTATGCATTTACCTGAAAAATAAATCGAGAAGAATTGAAACATCTTGGTTGCGGCGTTGGTGGTGAAAGGCTTGGGAAAGTCTAACCTACTTTAAGGATTTAAGCTAGAAAGGATAATCTTTATGACAATGTGGTACTGATCCTAAGCTCTGTATATTTGAGACGCCCAACTTTTTCGTCTAGGCAGGCACAGGAGTCCGAGCGTTTCAGTTCACAGGTCTCTGGTCTGTATAAGACTCGATACTGATCAGGCAGCATTAGACATAAATTTTCGGCTAATCGAGGCTGTTGACCAGTAGACACAAAAAATTTCGAAATTAGTCGGGCCTTATATACCATACCACCTATTCATTCCGCCCATAATGGCCACCACCACGCCGACATACCCTGACCTGGGCAAGCTGGCCCGCGATCTCTTCAAGCGCGGCTACCATCCGGGCATCTGGCAGATCGACTGCAAGACGCTGACCAATTCGGGCATTGAGTTCTTCACCACCGGCTTCGCCAGCCAGGACAACAGCAAGGTGACCGGCTCGCTGCAGAGCAAGTACAAGATCGAGGACCAGGGCCTGACCCTCACCGAGCGATGGAACACGGAGAACTGGCTCTTTGGCGAGATTATGCATCGGGACAAGTTGGCCCAGGGCCTAATGCTGGCCGTGGAAGCCAAGTTCCAGCCGGGCTCAAAGTGCGTAAGGGGGTTATGTTTGGTTCTATTGGTTATGTTCATTTGGTTGCATTCTTAAATGATGTACCACTTAATTAATTATTTCTAAATATCTGTGATTAATAGCGAGGCGGATGGCAAGTTCAAGATGGGCTATGCCCATGAGAACTTCAACTTCCTGGCCGACATTGGACTGAACTCGGAGCCGATACTCAACTGCTCGCTGGTTGTGGGCCACAAGGAGTTCCTCGGCGGCGTGGGCACCGAGTTCGACGTTGGCAACACCGAACTCAAGGCCTGGAAGGTGGCCCTTGGCTGGACGAATGAAACAGCTACCCTCCATGGCGAGCTGTAAGTACCAAAGGTGCTTCTACAAAGGTGCCTCTTCTTAAGCCGTTTTCCAACTTGCAGGAAGAACGGAGACACCTGGCTGGCCTCGCTGTTCTACAAGGCGAGCGACAAGATCGATGCCGGTGTCGAGGTCACCAAAGGAGCCGGAGGAGGCGGCGACGCCGCGGCAGACGGCGAACAGCAGGGCGGAGATGTGGTCGTCAACCTGGGCATGATCTATCACTTGGAGGAAGACGCCCTCATACGCGCCAAGGTCAACAACCTTGTGGAGCTGGGCCTGGGCTATGAGCAAAAGCTGCGCGAGGGCATCACCGCATCCATATCCGCCGTGCTGGATTGCAACAACTTTAAGGACGGGAACCACCGGTTCGGCGTGGGCATTGCCCTCCAGTGCTGATGTGGCTGCCAATCAGTCAACGATTTCAGTTTCCAAATTGGTTTATCTTTATTCAAATGAGAAATATATTTCGTTCTTCAACATGGCAATACAACTATATGAGTAATCATTCAAGCACGTAAAGGATATAGAAATAAAATACAGATTCAACACGTTTTGAAAACAAATTCAATTCTGTTTTGATCACAGCTGCTTCGATATTATTTTCAAATTTGCAAAGTACACCAAAATTAAAAGAGTTGTAGCTTTTATATGGCACAATGCCCATGAGAAACCGGATACGGAACTTGTTCAGGAGGAACAAGCGAAAGCGCGCGGCATCCGAGTACCAGGAGCCCAATGATGAGGGTGGTGGCAATGCCCAGGACAGTGCGGAAGAGGCCAAGACGGAGAACAAGGTGGAGATTCTGCCGCCTCCATCGATGGAGGGTGAGATGCCCACCTACTTCCACGTGGGTCTGCTGGCCAAGATGTGCCTCACCCACGGCTACACCATTGGACGCTGGAAGCTGCAGTGCACCTCGAAAACGGAGAGGGATTTCTATCTGAGCAGCTTCGGCGAGGGCTTCCCGACGTGGAACTCTGTCTACGGAGGACTGGAGGCGTACAAGGAGCACGGCCACTTTCACGCATCCCTCGCCTGGTTGTCGGATGGGGACTTGTTATCCGATCTTGGGGCACGTGGTGATGTGCTGGGCGGGACATGGTCCACTACAGTGAAGTCTATGGTCGGCGCGGATGAAGGGTAAGTCGGGGTTGCTTTACACGATATTCTTTCGACTTCGAAGGGATTAGACAGATTATGTTCCTATGTATGTCCTTTGAATACTGAAACTCAAATGAAATGTTAGTGCATTTTAATCTTCGCAGAAACAAATTTCAATGCAAGCTGAAGTGTGGCTTCGATCGAAGTCCTGCAAAATTCGAAATGTACATTCCCCTATACAGGGATCCTTTATTTATGGGCTACATTCTGATGGAGCCGGCTAAGAATTATTTGTTGGGCTACCGCACGGTGTTCAATGTGGAGGACAGGGACTTCAGTATGCACGCCTTCTGCGGAGGATATAGCAACGATATCACGGAAGTCGGACTGAAACTGTACGTTACTCCCAACTTCCTCCAATAAACTACATCTGTATATTTTAGGGAGAATTTCGAGACGCTCCGCGGATCGATATTCCAGCGCCTTGGTGAAAAGTGGGCGCTGGCATTGAAGGCCAACCTGTATGGAAACGTGAGTGCCAAGAGTATCTCCATTGGAGGTCAGTACGAATGGGAACCTGGAACCCTGCTGAAGGCCAAAGTGCGAGGAGACACCCGCTTTGGGTTCATCTTGCAGCGGAAACTCCGCGAAGACATCGAAGTTCTGTTTCATGTTGGCTTCCAGGGTAGCGATCCCATTAATGGGAATCTCAAGTTCGGCTCCTCATGGTACTTCAATGTGTAGGATGGCTGGCTGCATACGTTTGTATTCTTTTACGAAATATATAACGCTGTTTGTAATTTTCAAGTTTTAAAAATGTCAATCCTCTTGCACTTAAAGGGGAAAACTTGAAGTTTTTGTGTTTCGAGTGTCAGATCGATAGTTTCGCCAAAATTTTAAATTTTTACCCAAATTTTTGCTATTTTTTTTACCGATTTTAAAATGACTAATATGAAACAACGGCTGCGCAACTTGTTCCGCCGGAACAAAATGCGCGCCCGAGCCACCACAGCACCGAATAATCCGGATCCGGAGCCACCTAAGCAGGAGCCAAGCAAGCAGAAGCCAGGCAAGCAGGATGCCTCCAAGCAGGAGCCACCTAAGCAGGAGGAGCCCGAAAAGCCACCCAAGGAAATCGATATAGAGATAATACCCGCGCCACCGGCAGAGGGCGAAATGCCCTCCTACTTCCATGTGGGCTCCTTGGCGAAGGAATGCCTTATCAATGGTTTCAAGATCGGCGCCTGGCAGATGCAGTGCACCACGCGAACGGACAAGGACTTCTACCTTAACACCTTCGGCGAGGCGTATCCCACCATGGAGAGCGTCTTTGGCGGCATGGAGGTGTTCAAGGAAGTGGACAACTACAGCACGTCGCTCGGCTGGTTTACCAACAATGATCTTCTCTCGGAGATCGCGGTGCGCGGCATGAGCTTTGGCAGTCGGCTGTATGGGCTGCTGAAGTCCACAATTGGCACGAAAGACGAGTGAGTGTCTGCTACTTTTAAGCATTTCCTTACAAACAATACAAATTTACATTAACCCCGCAGAGTGACATTCCAAACGAAGCTGAAGTGCGGGTTGGAGCGCGATCCCGTGAAGGTGGAACTGGTGGTGCCTCTGTACAACGATCCCCTATTCTTAGGCTATGTCCTGGTGGCGCCTGTGGACCACTGGGTGCTGGGATATCGAACGGAGTACAACTTCGACGAAAAGGGATTCGACAAGCACGCCCTGTGCCTGGGCTACAATAATGGCAGGACTGAAGTGGGTCTGAAACTGTAGGTGCTCCAATAACTCAGATAATATAGGCAATATAGGATAATATATTCATTTGTAGCGAGAATTTCGAGGACCTACGAGGATCGTTCTTTCAAAGGATCGGCGATGCCTGGGCTTTTGCCATTAAGTCGAACCTCTACAGCTCGGAAAATGTGAAACAGTTTGCCATTGGGGTTCAGTACGACTTCCAGAATGGCACCATGGTGAAGGCCAAGTTGCGGGAGGACTCCAGAATCGGGTTCGTCTACCAGTCAAAGATCGGAAAAAACATCGATGTTGGCTATCACTTGGCCTTTGATGGGGTAGACCCCATTGGTGGAGTCCATAGGATTGGAGTTTCGTGGGGTTTTCACTGTTGAAAATAACGTGTACTATGCACGTTATAATCCTTCTGGATTTTGATTTCCTATATATGTATGATAAATATAACTAAGAACTTTTTATGCAACGTGTTGTAACTCACTTTATGTTTCTGTTTTAATTGAAACTAAAAATTATGTTCTTTGCTTTTAGTTAATGTTCCAGCAAGTTTAAAACTGCGTCATATGATTTAGGCTTACAAATATTTGAATTTTTGAGATACACAAATCAAGAGGAATGCCGAATCTAAAGCATATTGTACTTAATACACACTTAACTTTTTAAATAAATTCAACAGGTTTTGCGAATACCCCAAATATGAAATACAGGATTTTCGACGCAGCAAACTGTGGTCACACTTCGCTCCGTGACATCTCTATCATCGATTATTCTGTCTCTTTTTCTTCATACGAAAAAATAGTTCAACTGTTCAGACGTGTTTAGATGTCGTGATAAATCCAAGCAAAAAGTTGCGTATTCCGAGTGTTTTCGTGCGTATGCAGATAGATATTTGCATTGCCCAACCGTTTTACATAGTTATCGTGGCGAAAACGGCGTTTTAAACGCGAAAATCTAAGCAAAAAGTGCCAGTTCTCGGAGGCCAAAAAGTAGGTAAGAAATAAAAATGGCGTCACATGCCAACCCACACACATACATACAACTAATGCGCACATTCCCATTTTTCGTGCCCTTTGTCTTGAAATCAGGGGCTTAAATCGAAAAACCCAAAGGTAAGTTCAGGTAAAAAAGAAATTAGCAAAGAACCAAGAGGGGGAGATTGCGGGAGTACCATGTCGGAGGCCATGAGTGCTCCGCCGCCTCTGATTCCGCAGCTGCAGGAGATGCAGCAACAACAGCAGCAGCTGGGCGGTAATCCCGCCCAGCTCGCTCAGCAGTGGAGCAACTACGCCTGGTATGCCAACCAGAATGCCGCCTACCAGCAGCAATATCAGCAGTACTACCAGTGTTACATGCGCTACCAGCAGCAGCAGCAACAGCAGGTAACCTCGACGGTCAGTGCGTCCAATGCGCCGCCGGGCTTCAGCAATGCGCTGGCGCCACCGCCACCCCTACCCTCAGGACCGCCCCCTCCGCCGCCGCCGAAAATCGGTTTGCCACCTGGCCCAAACAAGCAACAGCAGCAGCAGCAACAACAACAGCAGCAGCAAAAGAATTTCGGGGGCATACGCTTTAATTTGAATTTAAACCAAAAGCGTTTGGCCGGTGGTCCCAATCCCCTGCAGCAGCAGCAGCAACAACAACAACAACAGCAGCAACAGCAACAACTTCAACAACTTCAACAACAACAACATCATCAGCAACAGCAACAGGTCATGCAAATGTATAATAACAACAACAACAACAGCAGTAACAGTAACAGCAACAAGAAGAAGCGCAAGCGCAACAACAAAAACAAGAACTTCGAGCAATCAGCATATAGCAATCCGTTTGCCAATCAAGCCCCTGCAACACCCTTAGCTCCACCGCCGCCCATTATAAGCGCCAGCGATGTAGGTGTGCCAATCACTCCGGATTTGAGCAAACCACCACCACCATTACCCCTGGCCATTGTGGCACCCACAGAGAATCCCCAACAGCAAAATCAACAGCAACAGCAGCAGCACAAGGCAGCCGCTTCTCCCGCTCCATCCCAAACATCCAATTTTAAGCGGCCAAACAGTTTTCAAATGGCGTCTAACGACTCCTGGCCCGATGCCCTCAACCAATATGTTGCCCGTTGCTACTCCAAGTGCAACACGGATCTGGATAAGGATCAGATTGACATTTGTCTGAAAGGCAAGATTATAGCGGCGGCCAATCGCAACGAGCTGTGGACACGTGACTGGGACAACGAGCCCATGCCTACGGTGCACAGCGAGAGGGACGGCATCGATGTAGTGCTAAGCAATGTGGTACCGCCGCCGCAGCAGCGAAGCAACTACTTTCAGAAGAAGCAAGAGCAGGAGAGGGAGCGAGAGCGAGAACGCGAAGCGGATAAGTCGCCAGCCAAGGGTTCCTCGGGTATAGTGAATCAGTTCAAGCAGAAGGGCAATCAATTCAACAAGTCTTCATCCGGCTACGGTTCTCATCATCATTCTTCGTCGTCTAAGTACTCCAGGAGTCGTTCGCGGTGAGTTCTATGATCTCTACTGATCAAATTGAAACTGTAGCCTAAACCAGTGTATTTATACCCTTTGCAGATCGCCGTCATCTTCAAACTCGTTAAAGTACTCGAGCAAGAAGCGGTACTCGCGTTCGCGCTCTCATTCGCGTTCCCGTTCGCGATCCCCCCGCTCCCGATCATGCTCCCGCAGTAGCGATGCCAGCAATCCCCCGGCGCGTAAGGTTATCCGCAAATCGGGCTCGAACGAATCTCTGAATTTCATACCACTCACCGCGAATTTATCCCGCAAGCAGCAGAAAATGCTGATGAAGAAGGGCAAGCGCGCTGCCGCCATGGCCTCCGCACAGATTAAAAAAAAGGAAACACCTCACTTTTACTCCAACCAGTCGTCTGTTGGTGGTGCCGTTGATGATGACACAGCGCGCTTGCAACAGCGTGCGGCACGATTCTCACAGCAGGGCTCCAGCTCGGCCAAGAAATCGGTCGTCGCCATTGCAAGCTCACCGTTTGGTCTCACCACGGCCAAGAACAAGAAGAAAATGATGCAGCAACAGCAGCAGTACCATCGGTCAGCTTTCTTCGAGGACACAGAGGCTGCTAGCGGCTTAGATCTTCTCGATTTGCACATTGTAGGAACTTGTAGGGATCTAGAAAAATCATTTTTGCGCCTTACAAAGGCGCCGTCACCATCGGAAGTGCGACCTGTCGAGGTGCTCACCCACTCCCTTGTTAATGTGAAAGGCAAATGGCGTGCCAATCAGGATTATCACTATGCGTGTGATCAGCTGAAGTCCATAAGACAGGATTTGACAGTAAGTAACCGCTGAGTAAAGATATAAAATAGTGCTAACACAAATTTACTCACAGGTCCAGGGTATTCGCGATCCTTTTACGGTGGAGGTGTACGAAACACACGCTCGCATTGCCATGGAGAAGGGTGACCACGAGGAGTTCAATCAATGCCAGACGCAACTTAAGATGCTGTACATGGAGATCGGTGGTAAAAACGCCAATGCCCTGGAGTTCACCGCCTATCGCATACTCTACTACATTTTCACAAAGAATACTCTGGGTATGGTGTACTGCCTTTCATATATTTTCGATTGAAATTAACACAGATTGTGACTTCCAGACATCACCACTGTCATGCGATCGATTACGGCTGATCAACGCGAAAATCCTGCAATTGCGCACGCTCTTCAGTTCCGATCTGCGTGGTCGCTGGGGAACTACTGCAAATTGTTTTCCCTGTACAAGACGGCGCCTCTAATGTCCGGCCATATGATTGAGTGGTTCCTGGAGAGAGAGCGCAAAGCTGCTTTGCGAGTTATCATTAAATCGTAAGTTGAATATATTTAGTACCTTGTAATTGTTACTAAACATCATTATATTTTTCAGTTATCGTCCCAACATTAGCGTAGAATATATTGCCAATATCCTGGCTTTCGATAGCTCAGAGAAGTGCAAGGAATGGCTTGACACTTTTAGTTTGCCATATGCCGCCAATGGTGCGCAAGTTGATTGCAAAAATGCAGCTGCTATTGCTATTTGAGGCGAATTTCATATAGAGCAGACTAGCTGCCATGAAGCCTCATTCGATTTTGTACATGATTTTTGAACTTTTCGGATGTTAGTGTCCTTTTTCGGACTGCGGATGCAACTCTCTTGGCCCTGTTTTGCAATTTTTGTATATATTTCTTTAGATCGCGATTCCCTTTCGTTATAAAATTAGGACTTGATTTACTCCCATTTTTAAGCTGAAGTCTTCGCTTATTTAGGACGAGCTGTTCTTCTTAGAGTTTAAAGACTTTAGAAGGAAACTAATTTAACGCAAAAGGATACAGAAACCATCACAGGAAGCATATACTTCACGTATTTAAACACAATGTTGAATAATACAAATTATACCGCCTACTGGGGATTACATCTGGAGTAGTCTTGGATTTTACTCTATGATCGATGATGCCATACTCCGGCAATGAATAATTCAATGCTAGCAACGGATTTGCCGATTTTATGGAAGGAATTATATGGATTAAACACAACATGGATTCACCAACGGATACTTTTTTCCAGGATCAACAAAAATGAAATAATTTTAACAATTGGCGCGCTCTGCTGAACATTTTTATCCCAGCGTTTGTCTACACTACCTCTTTTAAAATTCAACAACCTTTATATACTTTTAACCACCAAAACCGTGCAAGATCCCCAAATCAAAAGAATTCAGCAACCACTGAACTTGAAACCTAAAGTGCGTGACCGTGCAATGAACATATAAAACTGAATATTTAAGTGAATCGATTCTAAATATGGTTACGACCCTCATAAATAACAACCTTACTAAACATGAACTCTCGCAAAACTAACATGAAATAATACACATGAGGATAAACAAAATCAGAAGCGATCGCGGAACTCAAAAAGCCCAAAAGCTTTGGACAGAGGAACCATTTTTGTTTTGTTGTCTTTATTTTATTCATTTACACACCGTCTGATCACTTCATTTTTAAACTAGTTTTAAGGATAGGTTTAATGATTGTTGTCTTATTTAAATTATTGAAAAGGATTATACTAATGTTCTGTCTCTCTATTGTATACCTGTATATATATACAACCATCAAATCCACCACGAACTACAACTGCAATGAGATCCAGCCTGCATGTAAAACCATCGGAAGTTCAAACTCAACGTTTTGGAGTATGGCAAATTCAACCTGGTCTTCCCCGTCGCCACTAAACATCCGTGAAAAGGCATTCAACAAGTCATCAAATATGCGCGGCATTTGTAAGCTCTTCCAATTTTAATTCGCCTTACTAAAGCAGATTGTATGAAAAATTTGGAGTCTTCGGGGTACCACATAAGTAATTGGCTAAGATACTGTACTCAGTGTTTTTACTTTTATTAGAGGGAGTTTGACAAGAATCCTAACTACTACAGTAAACAGTAATTATACAAAAGACTAGGCTTATAGGTATATTTTTAGGCTAAGCTTAACTGTTACTTTATTTTTAATTTTCTTGAATGTTGGAAACTTATGGAAAAGAATTCAAGATTTCAAAAGCACCTCCAACTATGGTGTTGCATCCATGGGAGCCCGTTTGCATGAAATGGGAGAGCATTATCCCGCTTTAACAATAAACAATAAACGCCACAAATCAAAGCAACTAGTGTTTTCCTCTTGGAGAATTTTCCCTCTCAGCCCAAGGCCGTTATTCCAACAATCCTCTTCCAGCTGCCGCCGAATCAGGAGCTTTAGCCAGGACCCACGCCACTTAGAGCTTGTTGGAGTGTGGCAGCCGAGCTTTCAACAACACCCAAAGGATGCTGCCGGAGGTTCAGCCGCTATTTAAGGATGCTGCGTTGCGGCCTTAGCTTCAGTCAACGCGCGGCGTTTGAGTTCTTTGGATCGCGCTGAAAACTGAAATCGAAGGACCACACAGATAATCCAAAGAAGCTATCAGTTTAAAAAGAGTCCCTAAATCTCTTTGTGAGTGAAGTGACCCAAAGAAAAGTGTCTAGCAATATTGTTTCTTTGCCTTGTTAAGATGTGTAATAAGCTACTGTTAATAGTTGCCACGAATTAATCCGTTTAATTACAAAAACACTGTTTTCGAAAACATAAATCGGTTACTATAGGTATGCTGAATTACATCATTTTAAGTCCTGAACTTTTAATACAAATAAAAATAAAGTAAAAGTAGCTCGTCGTAGAAACTATATCGCCAAATTTTGAAACCATTTTCGACATAGCGAAAAGAAATTAAGAAATTTTAAAAATCTGGACCACTTACACTTTACATATTTTCAAAAAAGTTGTAGAATATGTTACGGATTACCAACATTTATGTGATCGTTAACAAAAACCTAGTTGTATAAACAATCAAATAAAATGCGGCATGCAAATTTTAAATTAACGAATAGAAACGTGGTAGTTAACATTTAAATTAAATTAAGTGAGCAAATTACTTCATTAGAAGCGTGCAAGCTTACCAAATTATAGAATTTTAATTTAATAAATCAAGTTCACAATATTAGTGAGTAAACTCATTCATTAGTAAGTAGCGTACCTAATGATTTATTAGAAATGTCAGGAAAATCACTTTAAGATGAACACAATGTCAACTTTGAATTGATTAACTAATTGTTGGACCGCAATAATCTGTCAACCCGAAAAACCGTATAATTCAAGCAGTCATTTGATTAATGTCTCAAAAATATCAAAATGATATAACTTGCAATTAAATGTATTATTCAAACATTTGGAAATGGAAAAAACAGTAAAGTGCTTTAGCCCGAAAAGGAAAATGAATTAATGAAAATTAATATTTAATAAATACCCTCAAAGCCAAAAGACTCAAACTGAATTAAGAAACGCAAAACCCCATTAAGTAATTAAGGTTCTCAAAGATGCGAAAATTAACTCTTTAGTCTACAAAATATGTTTATAACAAAATTGAAAAACAATTAGCAGTAAAAAATAACATCAAATTGAGTGCCAAGCAAACTTTTTTGGGAGGCAGTGGGCCAACTTCCTGTGAAGCTGTCGCAGCTGCCAATGTCAAACGGTTGACAAGGACCCATCCTTCTCATCCTTCCTGTCCTATCCACGTTTTGCCAGTTTTCGTCATTTCGTTGTTAAGATAATTATAATATTCCTGATGCTTGGCGGGCCTTGGTATATTGCATAGTCGAGAAGGTACTCCCATAGAAACTCAGCCATACGTATAATCCGGAACAAAAAGAACTACAGAATGTCCACTAAAACTATATTAGCTTATGCCCGCCCTTTTATTTGCAGTACAGCACTGTGGATGATTGAGGCATCTTTTTTTACCTTCAGCCAAATTATTTCAAAACGAAAGATCTTACCTTTGAAGATACAACTCGATATTCGGCGACTTTGCCCTTTCACATGTCCAATGCAAGCGCAAATCAATTTACAAACAAATCAGCCTTTCAGCTGAGCTTCCATTACTCACACCTCACTTTGAAATATGTATACGTAATATGCAATATTCGGCATGTTTTTGAATAACAATAAATAAACATTCAATATTGACTATCAAAATGTGAACCGCAGCTGAGGCTGACATTACAAAGGACGACAGGAGTATAAATTTTGCAACATTATGTGTGAATATTTAATACACTTGCTTAAGGATGTGGGCGTACTTGGATCTGCCGCTCGGCAAATCCTTTTCACAGGCATAAAATCCTTCGCAGGACTATCCCTTTCATATGTTAATCCAGAGCCGGATAGTCAGCATTTGGGGGGAATAAAACTTGTTTACCTTTCTCTGGAGCCATCCAAGGGATGTCCAAAGGATTTTCTTCACTTTACGAGAATCTTCAAAAATGATGTGTTATTTACCGAAGGGTCTTTCCGTCATTTTGTAAATGTAACTTGGTATCTGCTGCTCAGCTGACTTTGGCTTATTTTACAATTTGCATTAGCATAAAATAAATTTTGGGCGATGAGAACAATTTTCCGTGAGAAACATGCCAATTTATAAGAGCTCTGCGGAATGGCAAGAAACCGGCTAAAATTCAGAAGTTTTAAACGCTTCAAGTATGTGCAAAAGGACGGTAGTATTTTGTTGTAGTAGTACTTAAATGATGGCCAATAAAATTGTTTTTGTGGGATCAGCACGCTGCGGCGCTAGTTATCTATTGAGGTAATTACCATTTAAAATTCTACACCACATTTGCAACAGCTCAAGAGTTATACGAATTTAGACAATTTAGGAAAAATACCCTAATTAAAGAACGCTCTCCTATTTGCCTGAGATATAAATATCCTGCCAAATCCGGTTCCTATTCCGGTCATGATTCGCACTTGACCACAAGTTAAATCCTTGGCTGAATCCAGCTTACACCTGTGTGGGTGGGATACCACATACCCATTGTGCTGGCTGTGTTGTGTCTACCATTTAAATGGTTTTTCTTAGCGGATTTGTTGGTTTCCCACTTTCCTTTTTTACAGTTTTGCATTGTACTTGGCAGCATCCTTTTTTTGGTTTTTTTAACCGCTTTCCTTTGTCCCCCAATTGTACGATTTCCTTTGGTTTTCATTTCTTCACGCGGCTGTGTTGTCATTTGAGATAATACGAAAAGCATTCAGCGCCCGTCGTTGTTACGGTTTTGCCTTTGATTTTATTCAAGGGTTTATTTTAAAGCAATTGATTGGATTTAAAACGATGTGGAGCAGTGCTGGAGGAGCTGAAGTGTTGACAGTTCAGGAAATCTGAGATTTTCCACTTGCTGCCGGGAAAATGTGATTGAATTGTGTTTCCTGCGAAAGATCTTGTGCGTAAAGCCTCCTTCGGGAAATTTTACGATTTCCCCCTTTCTCGGTTCATAAATCGGACTTGAATTTCTAAGGCATTTTGAAGGCATTGTCTTCAAAAGCATTTAAGGTGCATTCATTGTTTTCACTAAATTTAGCCTAAGCCTGGCTATATCGAAACATTTATTGCTAAATCAACAGTAGAAATAGATAATACACTACCCACAATTTAAACGAATGCACAACGCTGCGTATGAGCGATATAACGAAAATTCATTTTATTTGTAACCAAATATTCAAGTAAATATACATTGAGATAGTGCTCGTTCGTTTCCTATTATTTTCCATTCCATAAGTTGTTATAAACTTTTAGGATTATGGTTTTACACCATTTAATTTCCACTCGGCTCATTAGATCTTAAGCCAACAGAGACTGACAAACAGCCACTATAACCAGAGGCACTGTCTGAAATACTCCAGAGATACCCACCATTTGTATTTGCCTTTGGGCTGATTAAGCAGGCAACGAGGAAAAGCGGAAATGAAAAGCAGACACGGGGTTTTCCAGGCAATGCTGAGCATTTGTAGCAATTAAAAGCATCTTTATGGCAATTTGCCGTTGCAAACCACAAAACCAGACGCCTCCACGCCGCCAAGCTCCGTAATAAATTTTCTTAATCAAAAAGTGACGAAGTCCCTTCCGCTCTATGAAAATTCAATTAGTTTACCTTTAATTTGTTGGGTGTACCGGCACCTGGCCTATTTATACACTCCGCTTAGCCTTCACCTTAACCGAGGTGTGGCAAAGTGGAGGCTTCTGATTAGAGTTGCAAAAGTTGCAGACAACATCTGCTGGGCCCTTTGGTTTGTGCCTTCGAAAGGGTTTAATCATTCATTCTGCAGCCAATTTTCACGCTGTTTTTCTTCACCAGATGCTGTTTCCTTTTTCCTTTCCTAAAAAACCCATTTACATTCGCGGCTCGTTCACTTGCTTGGGAGTATTTCTCTAACCTCCAACCGCTTGAAAAAAATTGCAAATTTTAAAGATGACGCATCAGTTGAGCTGATTTGCAAAGCGAAGTTTGCACAGCAGAAATTTAATTAAAAAGGAGTATACCAAATGACTATATCTTTAACAGGCGTATGTAGTTTTAGGTATTTTAGGATATATAAGCTTTAAGCCTGTGTAGTCATTGCTTGCTCACTCTACTCAAAAGTAATACTTTTTCAATAATAAGAACCATAAACCTACAAGTAATAACTATTTAAAGAAATTTGCAGTATGAATGGATAAACCTATTTAAAAGCCTTTCCGAGCATCGGTAATGGACAGGTGCTATTGTGTGCTTGGGCCAAATAAATCCGAAACCGATGAGCTGCTGCCATTGATTAACCCCCAATTGTGGCTGCATTTGACATGGGAACCTGTCTGGTGGAATCCATTCCATCGGTGAAGCTCCATGGGCACCCACGAACATTTAAATTCGAAATCAAATGCCGAATCATTCACTTTGAGGGCACTCCCGCAGTTAGTCACACAGAATGTCCAATGAAATGCTATCGCTTTCTAATTACTCACCCATTGTTTGTTGGCTCTTGTTTGTGCTGTTTGTTTAATGACGGCTTTGGAAAATTGCTTTGGCAAATCAAAATAATGACCGCAAATTTCGGCTTATCTTGATTCGCTGGGTGTTATTTTTCCACGATGCCCCGTGCACATTTGCACACACATTTAGTACGTGCCTTTTTGCCTTTTACTTTGCCTTATCAATCAATCAATTAGCTGGCCGGCTGGCTTTGAGTGCATAAGTCTATTTTTGTAGCTAAAAGCCAGCCTTTGTCCATTTGTTGTTTTCCTTCCGTCGCTCTCAGGCATTTTGAGTGGAGCCGAAGGAGCAGAAAGCTGGACAACTCGATGATGGCTGATTCCATTCCACGGAACAGCCTTAAGCCAAAGGTATAGCTTCATCCAAGTGCACAAGGGGGGGAGAAGATTATTTTAAAGAAGTACCATTTTTTACCAAGATATGAACCATATTTTATTCAAGATGTTATGGAAGTTTTTTTTAGTTATATGTAAATTACAGATTATTTAAAGAATTGCATATACTTAGGATTAACACAATGGCAAAACATAAGCCAAACTTTCTGCTGCCGATTTTCCTCATTAAACTCCAGTATTACTCCAGTATGATTTTAAGTTCCTTTATCTGTTGCGACCAAGCGAAGTAATACAACTTTCCGAAAACTTTTCAATCCTCAGTGAAGCAATTGAGTGTGGACCGAAAAACGAGAGCGCCGCAGAAAGTTTACCAACAGAATTTAATCAAAAACTTGGAGGGTAAATTGTCCAAGTGGTTCACCTGTTGGCTGCATTTTAAATCAACGAGGCAAACAATCAGCGCAGAGGAGCTGCTCCTAGTCCCCAGACAAGATGTCGCAGCATTTCACATCGATATTCGAGAACCTGCGATTCGTGACCATCAAACGTGCGACAAATGCGCAACAGCAGCAGCAGCAACAGCAACTGCAGCAGCAGCAGCAGCAACAGAAGGCACATGTAGCCGCACAGCAACAAAACAGCAGAAAAATCAAAACTCAAGCTACGCCAACGGTGAATGGCAATGGGCTCTTGAGCTGCAATCCAAATGGCGGAGGAGGTGACTCCTCGCCCTGCCATGAAGTGGATCTTGCGGGAGGAGCTCAAGGAGCAGGAGGAGCAGGGGGCTTGCCATCTTCAAGTGGCACGCCATTGAGGCACCACAAGCGCGCCAGTATCTCCACAGCGTCGCCTCCAGTTCGCGAACGGCGTGGCACCAACACCAGCATCGTGGTCGAACTGGATGGGAATGGGAGTGGCGGTGGAGGTGGAGGTGGCCAGGGTACGGGATGTCCTCCCTCGGGCAGTGGCACTGCGTCCGGAAAAAGTTCGCGGGAACTATCGCCGTCGCCCAAAAACCAACAGCAGCCCAGAAAGATGTCACAGGATTATCGGTCGCGTGCCGGCAGGTAAGGATTGCATTTATCACACATACATGGAGCACGCCACTGCTGGCATGACTGATAAATTGTTTGGGGCAGCCACAGGATAGCGGCAGCACTAAGCAGAGCTAGTTGAACTTAGGAACTAGATGGGTTTTGCAGGGGATGCTGGTAAAAAGCATTTGTCGCGCGATATCGAGTTTCAAAAATAAGAAAACCACACCTAAGCTATGGTGCTAAACAAGTTAATATTAAACAATTTGCCCTAGGCTAAATGAAAAAGGAAATAAGTTGAATTTTTAGGGGTTCATTGCACGCAATTTTCAATAAATTTATGTGTGGCTTTAATGCTTTAAATAGCCTACAATATCATTTATTCCATTAAATGTGTGGCTAAGTTTTACCGCATAATCCAGACAATCGAATCATCTTTTATAGGAAATAAAACACATATGTTTTTCTGCATATTTAATTTTAAGAGGAGCAGACGGGAATAGAGGATTCCGAGTGGTTAGACAAATTGCGCGATTAATGTGCGAAGCTTAGTGGCCAAATGGCCCTCAGATTCGCTGGCGTGGCACCTACTTATCCACGCTTTCCAACCACATCTGAAATCACTTTCTAAATTGCAGCTTTATGCACCTGGACGACGAGGGACGCAGTCTGCTGATGCGCAAGCCGATGAGACTGAAGAACATCGAGGGCAGGCCGGAGGTCTACGACACGCTGCACTGCAAGGGTCGCGAGGTGAGTCACGTCCAGGATTGCAGGAGGGGATTGGGAGTCCCGGCCACTGGCAATAATTAGCCATTGCACGTGGCCAAGAAGCCACTGCTCCATGCACGAGCGGGACTGCCATAAAAGGGCAGTAAAACAATTCTTGGCTAAGAGCAGAAAGTTTCAGCCGGAGGAATGCGTTAAAAGTGAGTTGGCCAACGAGCGCAAGAAACATTGCATACTTGCAGGAGTTATTTAATGTTAGCCTGCCATGTAATTGTTTGTGTGACTGCCTGTTCCATCTCTCTTATGTGTGTGTGTGTGTTACTGTGTGGCTGCAGCCTGCATATGTGTGGGTGGCTCCTGGCGCTTTGTTTGCTTGCTCGTCTGCAATTGGAGCGTTTTACAGCAGTTTTGTTATGCAAAAGTTGGCAGAGTGCGTGCCCCGGCTGGTTGGCGGATTAAATAAAGGACCCGGCTGCTCCTTTTTTTCGTGCCAGTCCACAAAAGTTTTCCCATCGTAATAAAGTGGCCTGAAGTTGGCTCATTTTTCTGAATTTTTTCCTTGCTTTGTGGGTGTTAAATTATATACTATTTTTGGGCTAATGTGGCGAATGTGGTTCGTTTTTGCCGAAAATGTTGAGCTATACGAGCGACAAAATTGGGCGGAATAAGCTGTTTGTCTTCCAAGCTGAAAATAATTAATAATGGAGAAGGCCGTCGCTATATTTTATATCAAAACAAAGAGTAAGACAACTTAATACAGAAATGAGTTTTCATCAGCCTAGTGAAAAATACACTTTTGTGTTAGGAATGATATAAAGTGAGCTTGTTTTTCAAATGGCTTCGAGGAACATTTTCTAATTGCTGTTGACTCTAATTTAACTTGTAGTACCTGTCAGTGCTCAAAACTCGCTATGCTCGTTAGGCAAATGTCTTTGGATACCTTTCAGCGTTGTTGCCGCCACAATCTGCATAATTTAATTTGGCCAAAACGGATTCAGCCAGCGCCGCTCCATTGGTTCGAACCTCATTAAGCCGAGTGAAAGCGGCAGGAGTAAAGGGCAAATTGCAGAGGTGAAGTGGCAAGTCAGAAGTCGGCTTAAAGTTGGGACACCTAACCCCAATTAGCCCGGCACCCCCAGAAGTCCAGAGTCGCAGTGGCAGTGGCAGTGGCAGTTGCAGCTGCACTTGCAGTTCAGCTACACTTTCTATGCTAATTAAGTCAGCATCAACGCCAACGGCGGAAGTGGCGCAACGAATCCTTTTTCACAATCAAATTTCATTTCCCTTTCGCCGCCCGCGCACCAAGCGCCGTTTTAATGCCCTCGAAATTATGCAATGCACAAATTTATATGAGCCACTGTGCCATTTTGTTTAAGCACTCCATGCAACAACATGCAAATTGCTCCCAAGGACCCCCACTTCCGACACCCAGGTAATTATAATGGAGCTCTGCTTAAGCGATGGCCCGGCAACTTAAGTTTAAACATTAAGTTTACATCGGGGCATTTAACACTCGGGATTTTGTGAGTTGAGCATGTGAAAAGGGTCTTTAATCGTTACCAGTTAATGAAACTTAATCCGTGTCCTGGTGTTGGCTTCAGTGACTTTGGTGCCCAGCTCTTTTGATATCATGCACTCGACTACCGAAAGTTTGGGCAGATATTTTCGTAGCATTTTTCATTACCACAGACAGCATTTCCACTTAATTTGTGTGCCAGTTGCCGAGCAATTTGAATTTCATGGCCAAAAGGTGGGCCAAAAAGTGGCAAAACAAACTTAACTGCCGCAGAATGCAGCTTATATTTGAATTCCTTCGTGGTTATGTTTCTGCTCCGGAAGAAAACTGGCATCTCGGGAAACTTATGGCAATGGCTTGGCCGGAAATTCAATTGGCTGGAAAATGTTATTTTTGGGATGTTTCGGTGAGAGCACTTGTCATGTTGCCAATAACTTTTTTATTGCTTTTGGTTAACTTTCTGTTGACATTTCACATAAAACTTGGGAATACCTGCAACTTAAGCAACTTTACAATAAGTCTATTTCTCTTCAATGTTTAACTATTAATGTACTTAAAAAGATATATAGCAAGATAACTTAGCAAAAGCCCTTGTTTTTCCGTGCTAAGCTTATAAGTGCAATCCGCTTTAGGTTTTCGCTGTTTTTAGCTGTCAGTGCAATGCAAGCAAGGGCATCCGAAGTTCGTTGTTGTCTAAGGAAACATGCCCCATGGCGAGTGAAAACGGCTACACTTCTTTCACTTTCCCGCGCCGAAGGGCATAATTCAGCTGCAAACACGAGGAGAAGCGAAAAACTAACCATTTTCGGCGGCCAAGTCGTGCTCCTCTTCTGGAGAAAGTGCAGTTCCTTGGGGAGGTGCCACCAAGTGGAGTTGGGTGGCACGTGGGCCGCGGAAAACCAAACTTACACGCCAAACTTTAAGCTCCCCGCCCTGTAAATGGGTGTGTTTGTGGGTGTGGGTGGGTGGGAAAACCTTGCAGCGTTTCCTTCGTATTTATTTCGGCAGCTGCAACAATTTCCGGTTCCGCTGCAAATGCCGCTCCTCCTGTTTATATTTACATAAAACAATTTTGGACAACTTTGAGTGCTAACCAGTTCCGCGCTGGCAATTATTTGCATTCCCACCCGGGCAGCAAGAAATTCATTTGCTCTGCTGCAGATGGAAATGAAAATGAAAAGCCAGCGCTTTTATGACGCCTTGTTTAGCTTATGAGGCTCTCGCCCACGGAAAATAATAATTTAGCCACTTAACCACACGCACTCCGCGCATGATTCCGGCTTATTAGGAAAATAAGTCCTTCCAGTTGCTAACTGACTTATTTTCGTCATGTGTGTCGCTGGTTTTTGGGTGATGTTTTTGGTTCCCTGGCTCGGTTGCTGTTTGCATTGTGCATAAATTTGTCTTGTGCAGCTGAGTGAAAATTGGCAAAGTTTATGTGGGCGGGCAGCACGGAAAAGAGGGAGCAATTGCATTTTTGCCATGTGCATACAAGGCAAAGTATGTGGTTTGCCTTTAAGTTCCAACTGCACTTTATTGTGGCCAAGGCGGTTGCAAACAAGAGAGTTTTAAAATTAATGTGCCTTTGTGGAAATCGCAGCTCAACATTGAAGTACGTTCACAAACTAATCCTTTGAATTTCCCCTCCACCTTTTTTGCCAACTGTGATACTTTGACTGCTATTGCTTTCCAACTTTTACTGCCACTACCACTTTTACTAGCCCTACCACTTTTATTACCTCAACAACTGCTGGAACGACAGGGTGTTGGAAAGGTATTACATTTTAACAACCAATTCAGATTTTTAAGTTATTGTGAGATGCAGCTATGCTAATCCACCTTTTAATACTTATTTTATTAAGTATTTTATATTCAAGAGTGAGGAGAAAACAAGATAGAAAGCCACAGTCGAGTTTCCCGAGTTCCTCAGCTAGTGGAAATGTAAGCGAGAAAAAATTATATTAAAAAAATGTTTTAAATTTTAATGTGGATTTTAAGAGAATTGCGTCGGAAGCATTTAGATATATGCCACTTCAAAATCCGATTAAGATGAGTTGAGTTATGGAGTTTAGAACTTCAGCCTTGGGACATTTCTTAATTTATTGAATTTCTATACAAGAAAATTAAAAAACAATGAATTTCTAAATTTAAATGCAGATTTTTAGAGAGTTGCGCCAGAAACATTTAGAGGTATGCCACTTCAAAATCCGATTAAAATAAGTAGAGTTGTGGAGTTTAGAACTTCAGCCTTGGGCAATTTTTTAATTTTTTTCAATTTCTACAACATCATAACATCAGAAAAATTCCAAAAATTAAAAAAAAAAAGTAATTTCTAAATTTGAGTGTATCTAGTATCTTTTTACTCTTTTTTTTTCTTTTACTCTACGAGTAACTGGTATAAAAAGTCTTATGAAACTCAATTTTCAGACTAACTTTGATAAGACTTTATACTTTGCTTTATACTTAAATAAAATGAATCTATACCAAGAAAGTTTATTTGATCAAATGGTTTTAATTACGCTTATTAATATTTATTTGTATTACATTTTACAAGCAACTGTTAACCACAACAATTACTTCGAAGATTCTATATAGGACGCTTCTGAAAATAATTTTCTTTTGAAATTAACTTTTCAACGAGTTACTCAACTTAATTGGCTTGGTTTATAACTATTCACTTGAAAATGTAATGCCCTGAATCGCTCCTTATTTCAGCAGTTAATGTGTCCTGTACCATTTTTACCCACTAAACTTGCTCGTAAGCTTCAACAAGCTGCTTTTCCGCGGCATACACTGCGTATGATTGACGTAATTGTAGCGAGCATAGCCGCATGAAATTTTTTAGTTAGACACTTGCGACACTTGAGCAGTTTTTATGCCACACTTTGCCAAGCCAATTCGAGAGCTCAACTGCCTGGAAAAACAAACTAATTATGACCGCGGGTGTCTTGGGCGGATTGTGGCTGCTTTTCCAGGGAGCAATAGACAGACCGAAGTCGTGGCGTTGAGTAAATTAAACCGTCGGGCAAATAAACTGAGAAGAAAGGTGGAGGAAAGTGCAGGCAGGAATCCGAGGTGAGCTGTGGCACTGGAAATGAAAATTACAACGACACGCATCATAAAAAACAAACAGAGATGCGGGCTTAAGTTGAGGAAAAGCGCGCAAGAAAAACGACGGGGAGGAAAAGCGACATCCGCAATTGACGGTGAAATGCTTTTAAAACGCTCCTTACTAAGCTGGGGTGGATTCCCAAGGACCTGTGGCCTCCTCATCTTGTTTATCAATTTAATTTTTGTTCCATTGTTACTCTCCACTTGTTCCTGAACTGTCACCAGTTCCTTGCTCGTGTTTTCGCTTTCTCCGACTGCCATTCTTGGCCATTTGTCGCTGCAGGGCAATTGCCAATAAAAATTTAATTACCAAAATGAGCAATTACACTTGTTCAATTAAAGCTGTCAAAACATGGGACACAGACTGTATTCATCCCGACTTGATGACCTATTTGTGGGGCTCCCTCTTCTATTCTCTTCAGATTCTATCCTGCTCGAAGGCCACCTGTACGAGCAGCATTATGAACATTGGCAATGCGGCGGTGGAGGCTAGGAAGCCGGATCTGATCCTGGAACACGCCAAGGACTTCCTGGAGCAGTACTTCACATCGATAAAGCGGTGAGCTTTTCATCTCATAGCGTATAACACAATTAGAGCATACTTAGAATAGCCTGACAAACAACATTTAAGATTCAAAGGCACCAGAACATTATACCATCACATGATCCCATCTTATCTCCCATCTCGAATGTAGTACATCATCTACCGCCCACGAGACGCGGTGGAAACAGGTGCGCCAGAGCATTGAGACCACTGGACATTATCAGCTAACCGAAACGGAGCTAATTTATGGTGCCAAATTGGCCTGGCGCAATTCTTCTCGTTGCATTGGCCGAATACAATGGTCGAAGTTGCAGGTGAGTGCTCCGCATGCTGATTTATGTTGTATGAATCGAAATTATTAAGACTTATGGGAAATTCAATTTATCGGCTAAACGTCTTTAAGTTTTATTTGGCAAAGTTACACGCACGTAATTCATAAGGATTAGATGGATTTATCAGTGAATCATGACCGGAGAGGTCATGCAAAACTCGAGAACAGCTTTCATTAGCCACAAAATATGACAACAATTCATCAAGACACATTAGGCTTAAACGTATGCAATTCCAGAAAATTATATGGGCAATACACCCGTCGGAGTAGTCAGCCAAATTTGTCAGAGCACAAATCACAGACGAATATATAATATGTGCCTTTGTCTGGGCCACATTACTCTAGATTTATGCGTGTTCCAAGCAAATGACAAATGTCGAAGGCGAAGAGCAGAGTCAAAGAGGAAATAGACAAAGACAAAGCTAAAATTTGAAATGCAAATCCTCGTAAATTTTAATTTGCTCCAAAAAGAAATGGCGCCCAAGGCGGAGATTTATTCCCGTGCACCCGAATCTACATACTCGTATACAAATACGAATTATAATGATCAGTAGTTGGCACATCAAATGGGTGGGTGTGTGTGCCTAGCAAAGTGTAAACCGATTTGCATTTCCGCCTGAATGATTCACGTGTGTTTGTTAGCCGAGAATCCGAGAAGGCAAATCTGATTTCCAAAGACAAGTAGTCACCTTCAGCGCCATGCCAAATAAATGTACTTTGCATTTGCAGACGGATGTCAGTTTCGCTTCAAACTAAATAAAGCCGTTTAAACAACCACAGAGGAATGATGAATCAGCACATAATAACAAAACACACAGTATTCAATTGTTTAACTAGAAGTAAAAAGTTAAACAGTAAAACAGTAAAACAAGCGGATACAAAGCAGCATAAATATTTTCCATGTTAATTTCATTTTTGGCGCTGCTTTTGATTACATGTAAAAGTTTTCCAAAGTTATCCAATACCACTCTGGCGAGACAAAAAATGCGAAGAACTTTGCTTTAAATTAAATGAAGTATGTGTGGCATAAGCACTTAAAAAGGGTTCAGTTTTGTGCGCTTTGCAAACTTAATTAGGAAACTCGTTGTACATGGGTTCGCCCCGACAGAAAAAACATGGCAAAACCCAACACAGCAGAAAATCGAATGAAAAGGGCTTTCCTTGGCCAGGAATGAATTTCAGTTCGAGTGGCTTAAACATAGAAATCCCATAAAGCCAACTGTGGGTACTCCATCCTGGCCTAGACCCAAAAACAGCAAAACCCACAAAGCAGGTGTGGAAAAAAAACAATTGTACGGAGCCAGATAACAGGAGCAAAAAGGAGTGTGAGTTCGACACTTAAACAGAAATATTGCAAAAAATTCATTGAAGCGAAATAATTGAAAAAGGGTTTCGGTGTGTGAACAAGTTGCGAACAACTCTCTTATGCGATCCCATGCCGCAAATAAAACACATATAGAAGTTACACAGAAATTTATGTCACATTTATCATCCGCCCCGTTGAACGAGGCGAATAAAAAAGGAAACATAAATGCGTTGCACAGCTTTAGGGCTTGGGGGCTGGCAACTAAAATTCATGAACAAACAATTGTTTACACTTTTAGTTTTCTGTCTGCTCGTGCTGTTGATTTTTATAGTTTCCAGCTGCAAGCATTTGAATATTTTAGGTAATTTAAGCTCTGCGGGAATCGCGTTTTTTCACCCCTCTGCGTGGAAATTTATACAAGTTCCACTGAAAAGTGATTCGTTATTGTCAAGCTGATATTTCTATTATTTATATGCTGTATTTTGCAGGTCTTTGACTGTCGGTATGTGACAACAACAAGTGGCATGTTTGAAGCCATTTGCAATCACATTAAATATGCAACAAATAAAGGCAACCTGAGGTAATTGAATCTGTCGGTCAAGTGCTAGCTAAATTAAATATTTATTCAATGTTTTTCTTAGAAAATATTAGGGAATGAATGCAAAACACTAGCACACTTTAAAAAAAATATAATTATATACTCGTATTGCCCAAAATGTTTCGATTGAACAATTAACACTCGCAATTTGGAATGCAAATTTAAATATTCCTGCAAAGCGTAATTGCCATGGAAATTAGGACGAACGGACAATTTTAGAAGACCTCTAATCGTTCTGAGCTGCACATAATTATTAATATTTTCCCATGCTCTTTGGCATACACAATTTTCAAATTTTCAAATAATCTACTCGCTACGTGGCAGACGTCGGTGGAGTGTTTGCGAAAAGTGATTGCCAAATTATGGGTTTGGCCTGCTAATTGGCTGAATTGAGAGGGTGAAAGCGAAGGGGCTGCTGCCAATTTGATGCCACGAATATTTGAAGCACCATCCCTTTTCCGACTTCCCCGTTTGATTCAGTTGGTGTTGCACTTTTGACTTGTACGCACATTATGACGCAAAGCGCTTTTGGCTGTTTCCAAAAGTTTCATTGAACTTTGGCGAACTTTAACGTTTTGGGTACACAAATTGTTTTGCGGTTGCCTGTGTAAAATAAATTGATTTTATATTTCAGGTCGGCCATCACGATATTTCCCCAACGCACAGATGCCAAGCATGATTATCGCATTTGGAATAACCAATTAATATCTTATGCCGGCTACAAGCAGGCGGATGGGAAAATCATTGGCGATCCCATGAATGTCGAGTTTACCGAGGTGGGCACCTAATACTCGTAATATGAGACCAGTAGTCCTAAGATATTTTATAATTTATCTTGACTTTTCGTTTCCTGTTTATTTGAATGCAGAGTTATAGAAACGGTTCGAAAATATTTACAATACCATCAAACAGTTCTTATTTATTCATGTGGTTCTGCGCTATCCACCTATCAATTTACATATCATACATGGATAAATACATGTTTTTTGCTCAGCCATCACGATATTTACACGCATCAACTGCTTTTGCCTTTAACTCCGAGCCTCAACCGCCCTTTTGACCCAGCCAATTTCCCATGTGGCGACCTTTTGTCGAACCAACAAGTTGGAAAAGGCCCAAAAGCCCACAGCAGCGGCAAGTTCGCTCTATAACTCGTTGTAATAAATCTCTTTTTAAATACGCAAAAACCGAGCAAACAACAAAGCTGTCAATAAATACGAGCACAAATACGGTAGCAGATGTTTCAGCCGAGCGGGTGGCACACTGCGATCCATGGTTTCAGTCAATCCCATGCCCACCGTGGTGTACACGTATTTGCATATAAAACCGAGCCCCAAAGTATCCCCATTTATTTTTACACATGTCACTTTTATGTCCGCAACTGGCTGCCACTGGCCTTATGCTGATTTTCGATTCCGAATCACATTTGTTTGATGTCCAATCCCATCGCTCCTCCATCCATCAGGTCTGCACCAAGCTGGGCTGGAAGAGCAAGGGCAGCGAGTGGGACATACTGCCATTGGTGGTCTCGGCCAATGGCCACGATCCGGACTACTTTGATTACCCGCCCGAGCTGATACTGGAAGTGCCGCTGACCCATCCCAAGTGAGTATAAAGATACATCCATATGGGGCTATTACTACAGCTTCCTCTCACTCTGACTTATATCCAATAAAACTCAAATATTTATAACCGATTGCGAAAGCACACATGTAAGCTCCACTCGAAACACAGTTGTCGATGTTTTTAAAAATATACCCCAAAAAGTGTACTAATCAGGAGTACGCCAAGTTGGTTTTTATGTATTGCATGTATTTCCTATTCGATAAGAAGTAGTTAATAGTCCGCCACCCTGGCGAAGCCAATCCTTTCGCTGCCCTTATCGAACACAGTGTAGAACTTGCCAATGAAGACGTCACCCAGAATCCAGAAGCTAAGACCATCCATATAGGTGAAGGCGGACATGCAATAGGTTTGGCCATTCTGCGTCAGCTTGACAATGTAGTCCCTGGGTGCCAGGGTGAAGGCAGTACCACCGATATTCAGGTTGACCTTGGGCAGGGCTGAAACTCGACTGCAACTCACGAATGCCTCTCCACCGCCATTATCGGTGGCGCCCAGCTGGCGATTGATTCTTTTGTAGGCGGCCAGGGGGGCCACGATCAACGAGGTGCCAGTGTCGGCGATGGCTTGGCATCCGCTGCAGAGCAAAACGCCATTGGTCTTGATGGTGTTCACCGTGAACTGCCAGTAGGCAGGAACCGAAACGGGGACGTAGGTGAGGCTTCCCTTGTAGAGGCTCGAGTCAATGCCGCCCAGGATCAGTTCTCCGCCGAGGACAGCGGTTCCCTGTCGCTTGAGGTAGAAGGAGATGACGGGCTCATCGAGCACTCCCTGGGAGATCATGTTGTCGAACGGCGGAGTCACTCCATCATCGGCAATCGTGCTGAAGGCCAGTCCCAGGATTCCAGCGAAAGGAGCATCCACGAAGGTTGTACCCGGCTCGCTGAGTGCCTCGCCGAATGTCTGATCCCGGATGGTGACTCCCGCTATGGCCACCGTGTCGGTGGACAAGAATCCGGAGAGACTGCCAGTGCCATATTCGATGGCGAACTCCTCACCATTGGCCACATAGGTGCTGGATGCCGTCGAGTTGTACTTGTTGTGCCTCTGGCAGGCGGTATTTGAAGCCGGGCAGCTGGCACTTGGAACCCACAGATTGGCGGATCCCGTGTCGAACAGAATGTTGAATCTCTGCTGAGGGGTTCCGATGGTGATCACTCCGTAGTACTCATTGTTCATGGAGTTCTGCAGGCTTTCCGTGTCACCCGCGGAGCTGGTACTGAAGGAGGTCTCCGACACCACGGAGTACTTGGACGCCAGCACGGTCTTCTCGGCCTTCACACTTCCATGGGTCTTTTTGAAGTTCCTGTTCCTGTGCAGCTGGACGCGATTCAGCTTGCCAGCGGAATAGCCAATCCCGAGAAGCACCAATAAAACTAACAACTGTCTCATGTCTGCGGCTGAAATTCGACTATGAATAGATTCCAAATGGGCTCGGAATTTAAATAGCTTCTGTCTGCTCTCCCGTGTTTTATTGTCTTTCTGCAAATATTCATAGGTTTCCTATTCATGGAAGCTAATAACGTCCACGAGTTCTGTTGGCACACTTAGGCTGACTCGGAAACAAAGCCCTCTAGTCTTAAACATTAAAGAAATCGGCAAATATTTGTTGCTCGTTTTGGGCATCTTTTTAATACAAGTGTTTTAACAAAAAGCGTATGATTAGTAGGTGCGGATTAGTAGGTGCGGATTAGTAGGTGAATAAGTCTGAAATTCAAGTAAAGTATCTGGGGTATTCATGGCCGTAGAACGAGTAATCGATGCCGTATCTAGAGGGTTCTCTAGCATTAGCATACGTGTAGGTGTGGGGATACCTACGATAGGTTGAATTCCTCTTTAGCTTAGCGAATCCAATTCTCTCCTGGCCCACATCGAAGACAGTATAGACTTTTCCTAAGAAAATGTCCCCCAGTATCCATAATAGATTTCCCTCCAAGTAGGAAAAGCCCGATAGGCACAGGGTTTGATTGTTATCCGCCTGGAGCTCGTAGATGTAATCCTTTGGGGCAAGTGTGTAGGTAGAGCCGCCGATATTTAGGTTAACATTCGGCAGTCGGCTTAGACGGCTGCAGTCAACAAAGGCCTCTCCTTCTCCATTATCAGTGGCATTCAATACTATATTGATCGCTATGTAGGCTCGCAGGGGAACGACGATGAGCGAGGTGCCCGTATCGGCGATGGCCTGGCAGCCGTTGCAGAGCAGGATGTCCCTGACTTTCACCGAGTTAGCCGTAAATTGCCAATAGGCAGGCATCGAAACTGGAACGTAGTTGATGCAGCCCCTGTAGATGCTGGGATCGATTCCTCCCCAGATGACTTCTCCGCCAGACTGCGAGGTTCCATCGCGCCTGAGGTTGACGGAGAACACCGCGCGTTCGACCAATCCTTGTTTGATGATGTTGTCAAAGGGAGTGGCGACGCCGCCGGAGATGGACCCAAATCCCATTCCAACTATGCCATCAAAAGTGGTGTCCACAAAGGCTAGACCTGGTTCCTCGACGGCCTCGACGAAAGTCTGATTTTCGATTACCATACCGTCTATGTTCACCGTATCCGTAGAGAGAAATCCGGACAAGCTGCCTGAGCCGTACTGTAGGCTGAATCCACTTCCGTTCTCCACATAGGAGCTCGACGCACTCGAGTTGTATTTATTGTGCTCCTGGCAGGCTTCGTTGGTGCTTGCACACTTGGAACTCGGCACCCATAAGTCGGATGATCCCGTATCGAACTGGAGATTAAAACACTGCGGTGGTGTTCCGATGCAGACCCGAATGGTGTATTCCAGATTGAATCCGTTGGCCACCATCTGCGTCCTTTGTGAGGCTTGTTTGTCCACCAGAAAGTACTTGGCCGCCAGCACGATCTTCTCCGCCTTCACATTTGCATGGGTCTTGTTCTGGTTCACCTGGCGAGCGATGGGAGTCCTCTTGAGTTGGCCCATCGAGTGGCCAAGCAGCAGTAAAAATAGTGGTATAATTAGTAGATGGCCGACTTGCATGTTTGCGTCTTGTGCACTAATGTGTCTTATTGCAAGCAAGGAAGGCAGTTTATATACTCACATATAACGCACTCCATAACTTGACGGTTATATGATTTTAGTTATATGATTTCGTTTCGTGTTCTTTGTTCATCAGCTGAAGTATCCATGGAAATATGGTTAATGCTGTTGGCTAAGCGCCTTTTACGTGACATCGTGACTCTTTAATTAAATCGTCTTTATTATGCACCCAATTATAAATGTATCTCTTCATTTGACGTTTAGTACACAATACAATATTACACTGCATAGTTCTGTATAAAATGTGTTTCCAAATTATCTGCACATTTCACTGGGTTCAGTTGGGACTGCAATGTTTAGCTTCTCAATTAGCTCGGCTTCGACGCCATGTCGGGATTAAGTCCGGCGTACATCAGCTGGTCGGGTGATGGCTTGTATAACCAATGGATTTGCATCCACAATCGCGGCCTGTGGCCACTGGCCACCCACACCAGCGACCCTATCTCCCAATATGAACCGAGCTGGCGAAATAAAAGCACCCACTACCCGTACTCTTGCGCTCCCATTGCAGATTCGAATGGTTCTCGGATCTGGGACTGCGGTGGTACGCCCTGCCCGCCGTATCCAGTATGCTGTTCGATGTGGGCGGCATCCAGTTTACGGCCACCACATTCAGCGGTTGGTACATGTCGACAGAGATTGGCAGCCGGAATTTATGCGACACAAATCGCCGCAATATGCTCGAGGTAAGTTGGAGTAAAAAGACATTCGCCCCTGTGTATCTGTGGTAATTTTAGTATTGATATCCGCCCCCTCCCCTGCTGACATTGTCCTTGTCCGATGTCCTTGATGTCTTTGTCGCTGTATCGCGATGTGGCGCTTATTTCATTATAAGGCCGCATAATGTGCAGCGCACCCAGCAACCGGGGACTCCCCCTATCATTCCTGCTGTCTCCACATAAAGCCCTTTTTTCTGGGCCAGCATTCTTTTAGCCACCAGCTATGTGGGTGGCGGGTGTAAGCTGGTTAACAGCACTTAAGAACGGCGGCTCTTTAAGGCTTGAAAAAATAACTACGGTCTGAAAATTAAAGTACTTTTGCGCATGATGTGCTCGGTTCTGACCTGCAACTAAATACACTGGCGATGCATTTAAAATTCGATCGATCTCAGCAGCCTAATTAGATTTCAGCAGCATGAGAACGCCATTAGCACTTCTCCGGAAATCAGGCACCATTTTATGACAGCAAAATGCCATCGGGGCACAGGTGCATTGGTAGGCCAACTTAGGTAGGCCACTTATGAAATAAAATGAAAAATACAAAAAAGAGTTTTTAATACCTCTTCCATTATTTAATCGAAGTCAACATGTTCTTGGCACCGTAAAATATCACAGCTATTAAATGCAGTTTTAGTGATAATTATATTAACTTAAAGTATTAAAGTGCCCTAAGTGAAGTGACGAAATGCGGGCGCCATGGCAAACATTTGCCATTATTTTGTGGTATTTGTCATCATCAAAGTCAATCAGTTGCAAGCAACAGCTCCACTCGTGACATTCGATGGCCTGTGGCTAAATTAATAATTGGCATACGTGTACGGTGTGGCTTCCGACTCGCAAGTGGCAAGGTGCTTTCGGGTTTGGGCCACTTGTTGGGCCTGACCACCGCAACCAACAGTAGTTGGTAATTAATAAATGCTGGCCACAAAACCGAGCACAGTAATCGAAAGTCGAAAATGGACATAGTTATTCGATTAGAGCGATTAGGCAGTAACGAAATTGATTTTTAACCGACCGCAGACGGTGGCGCTGAAGATGAACCTGGACACCCGCACACCCACGTCCCTGTGGAAGGACAAGGCCGTCGTGGAGATGAACATCGCCGTGCTCCACTCCTACCAGAGTCGCAACGTGACCATTGTGGATCACCACACGGCCAGCGAGAGCTTCATGAAGCATTTCGAGAACGAGTCCAAGCTCAGGTGAGTGAATCCCCAGATCGGCGATTATATCCTGTCTGTTTGTTTATGGCCTGGCTGGGCTTGCAGTTATGACACCTCCGCATTCGCATCCGCATCCGTATCCACATATGTACACATATCCATATCCCAACCGCATGTTTATGGCGTAACGTGTTTTATTTGACTTTCGCGCGGCCGCGGGGAAAATCGCGCGGAAAACTCTTTGCAGGTGCGAAAGTAAATTTATTGTTTCCAATTTGCTGTCGCCAGCGTTTATGTAAAGTGCTCGCGAGACACATAAATGCCGCACAATTTGTCAAACTTATTTCATTCTCGTTGGGAAAGCGGCCAAGTTTCCCTGGTCGTAGGAGTTAAAAATAAGTACTACATTATTCGCATTTTACTTTTGTTTATTTACTTATATATATAGTTATTCCCATGTCCTTAACCTTGTTCAAATGGGCTATTTTAGAATCCCAAACCAGTCTTAAAGAGTCTCCCCTTACAAGCACTAAATCAAAACCATAAGCCCGTGTCTATTTTTATAGCCACGGCAGACGGGGGCAGCCACAATTAACTTCGTTAATGGTAATCTCCCATTTGGGGCACTAAAAATACTCGTTATTTCAAATGCTGGGCTGGAAATGATCCAAATGAGTCCAAAGGATTCAGCCACCCGCTCGTCAATTAAGGGCCATCACTTACCGGTGCTGAAATCGCCTCTGTTTCTCTACAGGAATGGGTGTCCCGCTGATTGGATTTGGATCGTGCCGCCGCTGTCGGGCTCCATAACGCCGGTGTTCCACCAGGAGATGGCTCTGTACTACCTGAAGCCCTCGTTCGAGTACCAGGATCCCGCCTGGCGCACCCACGTGTGGAAGAAGGGGCGTGGCGAGAGCAAGGGCAAGAAGCCAAGACGTAAATTCAATTTTAAACAAATCGCTAGGTAAGTACTTGCCGTTAACGTGGCGACCTTTGGCGCTGCTCCTGCTCCCACTCCTGCCCATACTCCCACTATTAGCCTGCCCCATTCGGTGGATGATGATGATGTTGATACTCGCATCCTTGCCCGTGTAATTGTCCCCGTTTGCGGAACGGTGTTCGGTCGTTTTGCCACCGTGTCACACGACAGCATCAGCAGGGATTAGCTTTTAAGTAGATTACATGGATTGTGGTTTATTGCCATGGGGCTTCCTGCTCCGCAGCTCCTGCTCCGCTGCTCCGACTCCATCTGCTCCAGTGTTATCAAGTCGCCCGGATAATTTGGTACATTGCATCATGTTTGTTGTGCCCGTTATTGTTATTTTAAATGTTATTTGCCGGGATACTGCCGCGTCCTTTCTATCTGAGATCTCCCCTAGATTTAGCAGGAGAATTGGGAACATATGTGCGGCTGAAGTTGATTGTTATGCAAATTTGATGTCCTCATTTTATGCGCGGTAAAATGTTGAGACATTTATAAGTTAGTTTCCGCTTTTACGAACTTAAATTGAAACCCATCAGGAAGCAAGCGAGTTTATTTAAACTCAGTGAATTGGCGAATTTAAGTCCCAGCAAACTAACCGATGATCTCAACGAAATGGTTGGGATTTTAGTTAACTTGCAGTTAAGTAAACTTACTTTGGCCCATATGCAATCTGATGCAGAAGCCCATTGTACACCAAATATATTAATCAATTCAGTGTCCGATTTGTGGTGAGCAAGTGAATGAAGCAGAAACTACCGGACTGCAAATCCGAGCAAATTATTCATTTAGCGTTGGCTGAATTGCATTTAATCCTTACACCTATTCATGTATCTATCTATTAATCGGATGCTCAAACAAACTTCTGCGGCGAGCACTAACAAATAAAACCAATTACACAATTAAGCAGGCAGAGAAAAACATATGAAATAATGAGAATTGCTGTTAAATAAAGCGTGAAGAATTATAATGATTAATTAACGACCGCACTTTAAATCGCTGCACGGTAATATCATTGTCCACACCAGCGTATTTTGCATGCTAATTAATTTTAATTTACTGCAATCAGTCCGTTGAAGCCAGCAACATGGCCAACAAGCAACTGCCAAATGGCGCTCACAAATTCATTAAAAAGTTATCAATTAAAACTGTTGCAACTGCACATGTACGGCCTTCCATTAAATCGACGCCTCTTCGGGGACAACTTTTTATCAGTGCTTAAATGACATCATTCGTATTTACGTATTTATGAGGATATACGTATCCGCACATATATCCATGTTGGGATGACAGGCCGTAGACATAATTAAGTTTAATTGTTTCAGCACGCGCCGCGGCTCTTAGCTCTGATGAGATGAAATGGAATTAAATCAGCGCTGACATCGACAACTTTATGAAAATGAAATTATATTCATGCTCGCACAAAAGTGTGCAGTGAAATGCGTGTGGATGAAGTGGTGGAGATGGAGGTGGAGCAGGAGACGGAGCTCCAGGGGATCGGGAGTGGAAGGTGCTGCAAAGTGGAAGTGCCAGACATATTGAATTACATTTAAACTGCCTATAAGCATCCATTTGCACTCTTATCCCAAAAAGTAGTGCCCTGCCAGGAGCAGACTGAAGGCAGCCGGCGCAGAGCCAAGAAAACAATGGCATCCCCAAGGAAAATAATAAATGGGAATCACGCGTGCTGAAGCTCGAACTAGGGAATACCCTAGATTGACACTCAGGCGCTGTCCATAGAAGGTGTTTGTTGAAAGCAGACGCCACTAATGTATCTTATTCCGAGTAGAATTCCTGTTATATATTCCAAACCTTTTATGTTTATATTTTGCTTACTTGCGCAATTAATATATTTACACAACTCCTCAATAGTAAATATAATACAGCCAAAGGATGCTGAAGCAGCAGACGGCGTTCCTCCTATGGATTGGCTTTTAATTTTGCGCAGGAAAATTCCTCGACATTTATTGTATTCCTTCGCCTTTCGCCGTGCATCAAATTTTATGCGATCCTACTTTAAATGTCGAAGTGAGGGGCGCGAGGAAAATCGCATCGTCGGACTCTATGAAATAAAATGGAGGTTCTTTTGCGCCCTCTTGATTATTGACTAACCATGTGTGCGGATCCTTGACGAAAATACATATGTGTGCCCCACTTGTAGACAATTTTCCAATTACTCGGCATGTCAATCAAAGTGGCTATATCAGCCGGCGGCTCCTATGTTCTACATATGTTATGGTCTTACCCCCGACAAGAAGGCTTATGGGTCTTATGTCCATGGATGCTGGTCGTGCAGCTTTAAGGCATTCAGCATTTGCCCAAATGTACTAGTTAAACCAAGGCTCTTTCTCACTTCGTTGCAGGGCTGTGAAATTTACATCGAAACTATTTGGACGCGCCTTGTCGAAGCGCATAAAGGCAACAGTTCTTTATGCCACCGAAACTGGCAAATCGGAGCAATATGCCAAGCAGCTTTGTGAGCTACTGGGACACGCATTCAATGCTCAGGTGAGTTTAGCTCGAGGTATTTAATGAAGTAGAAATGAAACATTCCAGCTTGTCACTTCTGTGTTAAAAGTTTCATTTCTAGCCTCAGAACTGATCTGAAAATATTGTTATTATCCCAAAATAGAGTGGCTAGTTTGCACATTTAGTTTCAAATTTGTAAAAAATAAGCCCGGGAAATGAGCTACGATTAGGCATACTTCATACTGCCAAGTGACATCCCTAATTTGACATTATAAAACGCTTTAACCTACATCTAAAATTAGCCCATTTCGGGTGGCCCCAATTTAACCTGCGACCTTAGACTTCCCGTAAAGGCCAGCGCCACATGAGACAAATTAGCATAAAACCGAAATTTACTTTTACATTTTTTGGCCGGCTTAGTGTCCGATCCACAGGATTCAGTCCAGCTTGGCCTAGTCGTAGTCCTGGCTTCCTGGACATGTGTGTGTAAAAAGCATCTGCCGGCTGCCTGGCAAAATAAGATAAGATATTTGCCAGAATCCAGGCTCATTAGGTTCTCTGTCCATAATGCGTGTTTTGGGCCGAGTGTCTAATGACCACAAAAGTGTTTGGCCTAGCATAAAACGAAAGAAATGAATACAGATACCCACTGCTAGAGGGCTTAATTGTTTATTCATTTAGATATATTGCATGTCGGACTACGATATATCCTCCATTGAGCACGAGGCATTGTTAATTGTTGTGGCCTCCACCTTTGGCAACGGCGATCCCCCCGAAAATGGCGAGGTAAGTACTCCCCCCGGATCACACTAAACTAATTAATGGATTAGGCCCAGCCGCCTCCTAACGACCCGAAATGTGAACTTTAACTTTTCGTCCCTGCCGCGCAGCTTTTCTCCCAGGAACTGTATGCGATGCGTGTCCAGGAGTCTGGCGAGCATGGATTGCAGGACTCCAGGTGAGTCAATAAATTGCCACCCTTTCTGGGTGCTCCTCCATCACTTCATTCTGTTGGCGCAGTCTTTGCATAAATTTCGTATAAATCAATTTTTTGCGGTTACTTCGATGTAGGGGAAGGAGCAAGGATAATAAATGGGCACGAACTGATGGGGGGCGTAACCGAATTGCTTTTCAAGCAAGTTTTCTTTCATTTTGAATTTCAAGCTCATGCAAATGGGTTTTTTCCGTATCAATTTTTATTGCATACTTCGGGGGGCATGCAATGAGATTTTAATCCCTTGTCTTTGGTAAGGAAAGAAAAGCCGGATTATTTAATTATTAAGCTGGACTGGGTTGGAATGTGATCCAAAATAGTGCGCACTAAAAGGGACAGCTGATAAGATGGAAAATATAGTAAATCCAGGATTCTGTGCAGTTTTTAAATTAGGAAGTACACATTTAAGTCCATAAAATACAGGAAACCATGTCTTCTTACTTCAAATTGAATTATATTTATTAATGAAATTTAATGCAACGGGCTAGTCAGGTGGGCGCTTTTAATATTTATCTAAACGCAATTTAGGGCATTCTTGGGGTTAAGCAAATATCAATTATATTCCCTGGGCCTACATCAGGTATGCCCACTGTAGCTACTTGCGACTCCAAAGTTGCCGGCTTTATTGCTGACACATATTTGGCATTTTTGTATTATTAATTGGCCCTCTTGTTGTTGTCCCGCATACTCGGCTTTAAAATTACAAAGGCACACACATACAGACATGGGCACTCGCACACACACCGATGCACTGGGATAAGGACACGCACTTAAGTGCGTGCCGCTTGAGAGAGCAGACAAATCCGCGCAATTTCCCTTCCGCCAGAGCGAAGGGGAAAAAACAATAACAATAATTTTGTTATTTCGATATTTTCCCGCACGTATGTAGGTCTGTGTGGGGTTTTTATGATGTAAAGGGGATTTCCGCTTGACAACTTTGACAACTTGGGGCACACACACATCAGCCATTCTTTGGTGGCTAAATTTATACCTAAACAAGCTGGCAGTCGCCTGTTGAAAATGAAATTGAAAATTCATATGGTGCTGGCGGAAGGACCCGGGGCTGCCGAAACAAACACACGTCCCCACGGACGGAAGCCAATTCAATAACATAATACGAGAGTCGGCTGTAAAAAATGTCCTGCGGCCGCATTTCCGCACTTCCGCACTTCCGATAAGGGAGATGATTTAATTGAAAAATAATGACGGGATTCTCTGATCTGACATAATTGTGCGTGTTTATTGTATCGATTGGGCATGTTTATTAATTTGTGTTTATTATAATGGGCGAATTGTGATGAGCAGGCTCCCCTCGTTTTTAGTTTGACTCCTTTTGTGTGCTGTGAAAACCAATTAATTTGATTTATTACTTCTTCATTGGATCTCATTTTGTATTTATCTGCTTGCTGAATTGGGCGAAGCTCATTTGGGCGGAAGTTTCGCAGGAATTTTGCCAAACCTGAGTTAATTAGCATCTCTCAGTCTACGTTTCTTTTTTGTATTATGATTAATTGTCGGGCAAATTATTTTTAGCAAATATAAGGCTCTTTTGTATAGGACTCGGCTATAATCGTTTCAATTATTTGGTAGCATTTCAAGCACTCTCTTTAATCGATTGCAATTTTTGCTTGGCCAGCATTAAAGAAATGAGGTCCTGCTGCCTTGGCTGCCTTTTGGGTGCCACGCTGCGTATGAGCAATTTAAACAACCAAGCTTCGCAGCCTGATACCAAAATCGCTTCGGGGAGGCTATCAAAAGCATGTGCTGGGCTGCTGAAGGTCCTCTTTTGGCTGCTTAAACACTCGAGTGAGCTTGGCTCGTGTATTTGTTTTTTTATGTTCTCGAGGCATTTTGTCGCTTCGCAAATTGCTTTGCTCTTAATTGTTTGCTTCGATTGATTTAATTTTAAAGCTCAGAGCTTGCAAACTTCTGGGGCAACTTGCCGAAACTGAAACTCAAGCTATTGCTTAATAGTTTCCGCAAAGTTTCCAGTCGAAAGTCAAATCTTAGCAGAGACTTTTGGCCAATAAATGGTGAGGAGTAGCGACTTTCGGTTCAGTATTTGTGGCCTAATAAGTGACTTCACTGGTTGGGAATGACATTGCTTGAGCACCACAAAAGAGCACAATTCGTTTAAAAATACTGGCCTTGTCCTGCTTTGAGTCGAGTGACTGTCATCTCGAGCACACTTAATTGCAGTCCATTATGCCATCAACGCCTCTGAGTGTCCTTTTAAGTGTCTGCTGTGTGGGTGGGATGTTTGTGTTTTTATGTGTGAGCACCTGACATCCGTATCCTGTTGTCTGTAAACTGCAACAGCACGGAATGGGGCACTTATCCGGCCTTAGACGTCATCATTAAGGACAGGTGGGTGCGATGCATTTGCCATAAAAGTGGCTTCGCACTGATGATGGCACCTATAAGCTCGCAATTACTCCACTTTGCATAATGAGTGGAGCCAAACACTCGCACAAAACGCTTCTCAAAATCATTAGTGTATTTTTATGCCCCCGCTCCCAGCAGATTTTCAAGTGCACAAAAATAATTACAAGTTGAAGTTGTTGAATGGAGCCACTTGACTCTAGAGCAGACTGAATAAATACGGGCCAAAACGGCACTGCCAGCTTTTAGGCAACTTGGCAATTTATGATGCTGCGGGCTGCACTGCGAACATTGCGTATACGCAGTGTGTTCCTGTTATAGTTTTATGTCGCCTTTTTATTACAAAACAAATTTACCAAATAAATGAATCAATGAAAGTCTGCACATTTGCGATTAGTGCTTACATTTTTAAAATATATTTATCATATTATTTTGCAGTATTTTTATGGCAGTGTTTTGGTGTAAAGGTACAGTGTAAATTCTCTGGAGCTGGTTTCGTTTTAATTATTCGAAGTCCGGGATTTCCAGTCTGCCTCTTCGTTCTTTGGCCCTGCTAGTTTATATTTTTTTCGCTTTTAATAGTTTTGCTCTGCCACCTGCTCTTTTCCCCCATTTTCCCGCCCCACTCGGTGAAAGTTGAGCTGTAAATTACAACACTCTTTTCACGCAATGCTGCACTTTTGGGTGAAAAGGATGTCTGTTTGTTTGCGTGCTCGGTGGATCCTTCCAGCCCGTGTTGTTGCCGCTTTAAGGAGCATGTGATTAAGTTGATAGGCGTCACACAGCTTACAACTTGGCTAAGCACCGAAGCGTTGAGTTGTGCTTGCTGCCGACGTGATGAATTGCATGTGTTTTGGTTGGAGTGGGATTACGTTTACTTATAATTACAATGGGGATTTAAAAGTTAAGGATAAGGTTCTTCTCCTTCGCAAATGTTTCATTGATATCAAACAACATGCTCAGGTTACACTTGCTGACTTTTGCTGTGCATATGCTTAAATATTGATTATCTAATAATATTTCCAAATAATATTTGCCTTTCCTTAATTAAAGCAACTCAGGGCGCATTGCAAAACCCATTTAGATATAATGAGGATTAGGTCTCGTTACTAAAATGGTAGAGCCGCTTAAGTAGCAATGCCGTAATTTAATATTCCTCTCCATGACCATCGTCTTATGAAGAGTAGAGTGGTAGTTTCATCTTGGCCCTAATCCCGACAGGGTCCGCTCCATCAGTCGCTGTTAACAAGCTTCTACAACTTGTAAGCTCCATGGCAGGCATTCGTGACGGGTGCTGAGCCCTCTGCTCGGGGCAACAGGTTTTTACGACCCCAGCAAAGCCATAAACTTTGACCCAAAGCCAAGCTGAGCAGCTGGAGCTCAAATAGTTTTAAATGCACTGGTAGTGGGCCATGGCCTTGGCCAGATGCAGTTGGCAGTTGGCAGTTGAGCCGCTGAGCAGTCTGGCCGAAAGCGGATTTTTGGTCGGTCTTTGGGTTTTCGTTAAAGACTGCCAGTGTTCATTGTTGAATCATCACTCAAATTTTCCCATTCCAACTGAATATATGGGCACTGCAGGCTGCGCGGGGGAAAACCCACATGCTGGGCTTTTCCAGCTTTTCCCGCTTGCCGCTGACGAGCAGCTGACGAGCGCATGATTACGTTTTTTTAGTGAATTGCCCATGTCCAAGTCCATGTCCTTCTCTGGATTCCAGTCCACATCTTGTCTTTTCTTCCTGGCTGCAGCAGTACTTTGTGCTCATTTTATTTTGGCAGTTTTTGCACATTTCATTTTCATTTTTTCCAGAGTTTTTTCTTGTATTTTTCACTACATCCAATGACAAGCGTAATAAATGCTTTGCTGTCAGCCTCTGCTTTTCTTCTTTTATTGTTGCCTCCTTTGGCGTGTTTTGTTCATTGTTTAGTTCCTGCACAACAACAACAGCAGCGGCAGCAGCAGCGCACGGGCGCCCTTGACCACGCCCCCTGCCCATTGTTAGATCGTCCTTTGTGAAATATGAAACGGAGGGCGGGAAAGTCCTCTTAACAGGCCCATTTTAATTTGAGTGTTCTGGGGACTGTTTCCAAAACTGGCCCGCATACTTGGTGCACTGGAAGACGGAATTTGCTGCTAGCTATAGGCCGAATGTCTCACATAAAATCTTTCCTCTTCCGCCCACCCAAACAGCATTGGCTCGTCGAAGTCCTTCATGAAGGCCAGCTCGCGGCAGGAGTTCATGAAGCTGCCACTGCAACAGGTGAAGAGAATCGACCGCTGGGACTCGCTGCGGGGCTCCACCTCGGACACCTTCACCGAGGAGACCTTTGGGCCCCTGTCCAATGTCCGGTTCGCCGTTTTTGCCCTCGGCTCCTCGGCCTATCCGAATTTCGGCGCCTTCGGTCAGTATGTGGACAACATTCTGGGCGAGCTCGGCGGCGAACGCCTGCTGCGGGTGGCCTACGGCGACGAGATGTGCGGACAGGAGCAGTCCTTCCGGAAGTGGGCGCCCGAGGTATTCAAGGTGAGTGCGTTGGTCTAAAGTGACACCTCCATGCGGAATCTGTGCTGGGCACATGCGGAAATTTGCAAGTTTTTGAAAGAGACAAGAACGGAGGAAAACAGTGCGTATACGCAACGCACTTATAGTCGAAAGAGACTTTTAAATTCAACATAACATTAAACTATATATTTCCAAGGAAAATAGTTTACATGTTTCATAAGCAAACATAAAAATAATAAAGATTAAAATCACGTATTGCCAAGGTTTTGAAGTGACAACGCTGCGTATACGCAATGGCGTATTTTAAATGAAGCTTTTCTGTGGATAATAACTGCACTATTATCTAATTGAGCTAATAACTTTAAAATGGGTAATCCTATCCGGTAAAATATTGCCTCCATCCTCAGTTGGCCTGCGAGACCTTCTGCCTGGATCCCGAGGAGAGCCTCTCGGATGCCTCGCTAGCCCTGCAGAACGATTCCCTGACAGTGAACACGGTGCGTCTGGTGCCGTCGGCGAACAAGGGATCCCTGGACAGCAGTCTGTCCAAGTACCACAACAAGAAGGTGCACTGCTGCAAGGCGAAGGCGCAGCCCCACAATCTGACCCGTCTGAGCGAGGGGGCCAAGACCACGATGCTGCTGGAGATCTGTGCACCGGGCTTGGAGTACGAGCCTGGTGATCATGTGGGCATCTTTCCGGCAAATCGAGCGGAGCTGGTAGACGGACTGATTAGCCGCTTGGTGGGTGTGGATAATCCCGACGAGGTGCTGCAGCTGCAGCTGCTAAAGGAGAAGCAGACATCGAATGGGATCTTCAAGTGCTGGGAGCCGCACGACAAAATACCGCCGGATACTCTGAGGAATCTGCTAGCCCGATTCTTCGACCTGACCACTCCGCCATCCCGACAGCTACTCACTTTGCTGGCGGGATTCTGCGAGGACGCCGCGGACAAGGAGCGGCTGGAGTTGCTGGTCAACGATTCGTCCGCCTACGAGGACTGGCGGCACTGGCGACTGCCCCACCTGCTGGACGTTCTGGAGGAGTTCCCCTCGTGCCGGCCACCGGCTCCTCTTCTGCTTGCCCAACTGACGCCGCTGCAGCCTCGCTTCTACTCCATTTCGTCGTCGCCTCGCCGCGTTAGTGACGAAATCCACCTGACGGTAGCCATCGTTAAGTACCGCTGCGAAGATGGCCAGGGTGACGAGCGGTACGGCGTTTGCTCCAACTACCTATCCGGCTTGCGGGCGGACGACGAGCTGTTCATGTTCGTGAGGAGCGCCCTGGGCTTTCACTTGCCCAGCGACCGGAGTCGTCCCATCATTCTGATTGGTCCTGGCACTGGAATAGCTCCATTCCGCTCCTTCTGGCAGGAGTTCCAGGTGCTGCGCGACCTGGATCCCATTGCCAAGTTGCCCAAGATGTGGCTCTTCTTCGGCTGTCGGAATCGGGATGTGGACTTGTACGCCGAGGAAAAGGCGGAGCTGCAGAAGGAGCAGATCCTGGACCGAGTCTTTCTCGCTCTGTCCAGGGAGCAGGCCATTCCGAAGGTAAGTAGTTTTTATGGAGTTAGCAAATAAACTTGGGCTTCTTAAGCCACCACAATAAGTTTTACACAGAAAACATATCATACAACTTTTCATGTGTTATATTCCCACCTTGTTTTTGTGAGCTAGTTATTTAATTTATACAAATTAAATTTTACCACAAAATTTCAGTAGCAACAAAAATATACTCGTATATTATAGGAATGTAAATTTTTCCCTCAGAATCTGAGCAATCCCGCTTAAATAATGATTTGTGTTTCGATTTGGCATCAAATCGCCTGTGCATTGCAGACATATGTGCAGGACCTGATTGAGCAGGAATTCGATTCGTTGTACCAGTTGATTGTCCAGGAGCGGGGCCACATCTACGTCTGCGGCGATGTCACAATGGCCGAGCACGTGTACCAGACCATCAGGTAAGGTTTGCTCTGCCCCAAGTTTGATTGCCTTCGTGTGTTTGTGCCGGGAGTGGGCCGGACCCGGATCTCCGGGGGTGGACCCTTTCCCCTGAGACACCATTGGGAGTTTTCTGTTTTCCAAAGCCCAACGGTCAGGTATTTTGCCATCGCTTGGCTTTTATATTTCGTTTCTCTGCCTCGCATTTTTTCAAAGCTACTGATTAAGTGCGTTATTGTGAAATAGGGGCTGTCTCAATCCATACACACAGGATATTGCATAATGGCGCTGTCCTTGCGGATGGATTTCAATGGAAATGTGCCCGTAGTATTAAGCGGTTTAGTTTAATTGAAACCAGGGCAGATAAGACTGTCGCATCTGTTGCGTCTGCTAATTGGAAATGTGCTTAGAGGAAAATACATATGCTTCCTTACGTAGTTCTTGTCATTATGAAGAGGTATAAATGATAAATAAGTGAGAGGTTATTCGGCGATTAAAGAGCACAGCCAAATGGGTTTTAGTACATCTAGCGAGTGTCACCAAAGAGACTTTAGAGCAATGGAGTGCAGCTTCCCTTTCAGCTGTCACTTTATAAATCTTGCAGCAACGTCCCCACAGATTACGTGCCATATTCCTGTGCGAATAAATAAACAGTTTTTCACAATTTTCCTGTATTTTCTGTACACACTTCAACCATACACTTTACCATATTCCTTTCTCTTTGGCAGGAAGTGCATTGCCGGCAAAGAGCAGAAAAGCGAGGCGGAAGTTGAGACATTTTTGCTAACACTGCGAGTAAGTATCCTTAGCGGTATAATGTTGAGCTTTAGCTATAAATACCGTCAGTGGAGGGCTTTCCGCCCGCCACACTCGGCGTATGAGCAATATTTCCCAGCTAGCACGAAAATAGTTTTGAACAATGTAGTGTAAACCAACATATGATGACAGCGAATCTACATACATTGTGTTGCACTGCTCTTTCGATTTTCCACAGGACGAAAGTCGCTACCACGAGGACATATTTGGCATCACGCTGAGAACCGCTGAGATACACACAAAGTCAAGGGCCACGGCCAGGATACGGATGGCCTCCCAGCCCTAAGGATAGATATTCGAACTAATCAAAATAGGAGGGTGACATATCCACATAAGAGAGGAGCAGCAAGCACTTATCCTTTTTTTCTTCCATATTCAAATGCAATTAAATATTGTCGCTTTGTTCATTACATATTCGTATGGATAACGTTTAAATAACTTACATTTTATTATTGATTCTAATGTACAAATCAATTCCGAAATCAAAATCTAAATGTTGAAATATATTTCAAATAAACGAACCGAAAAAGCATTTCATCAAACCGTTAATAGAAGGAAAAGCGTGGATTAGTCAAATGCAATTTCCAGTTTCGGCTCTAAAGTGAGGGCCATTGGCTAAGCGGCTTAAACTGGCTGAAGGGAAATGGAAATTGGACGATTGGCAAATTGTGCAGAAAATGCAATTTTTAAAATAAATACTCACTTTTTTTTATTGATTTTTTTCATACTTCATTTCCCCGATTGCCCCGATTGGTTCAAGACAGGGAATATTACCAGCTCGGCAATGCCAGACTCGAAAATAGGCGATTCATATATATGCACGAGTATTTACCTTCCGTAATACGCTTTACACTATGCATACAGAAAAACTAGCGCTACCGTGGGTCTAATTCAGTTGATTTTAATTAAATTGATTAAATAGATACAATAGATACGAATTATTTTCAGGAGATTGCACTCATACTTTGGACTAATTTCATGCAATCACGCATTGAATTCACATATTGAACTTACAAAAATGAACATATTAGCCAAATGAGGCGCAATAATTTCTTGCTAAAAGCATGGGGCCCCCACCGGGAATATTTTCATCAATTAGAGTGTTTTCTTATCTCAGGCCCCAGTGCATCTACAACTTGGTGGCTGCGCCAACATTCCGGTGGCTGTCTGCGGTTTCAAAGCGTTAACAGATTTGTACCTTGTGCGAAATTCTAAACATCCACATATCCACATATCCACATCCCAACTTCGACCAAAGGGGCTCACCGCTGTCCCACCAAGCGACTGTGACTAGGTGGAGTATCTGATTTCAATGCTGAAATTGAATTGTGAACGCTGCTTGGCTTCTGTTTGATTTGTTCTTGTTTGCGTGCACATGTAGGGTATGCTGGGTATGGGAATACCCGCCATTTGCTTGGCGCACGGGTGTTTGCGCTTTTATCTTGCCATATGCTCGAAAATTGCCCACGAAAATGGCGCGTTTCGGTTACCATTTATATTTGTTTATATGCCAACAGCGCGGAAAAGTCAGAAATGCGTTGGAAATCGCTAGAAACCGTATTGGGGTACAAAAAATATGAAACAAATAGGCTTGGCTTATCCATTCTATATAGGAAAGTCTATTCATGGAATCTAAACAGCCAAAAAGTAATTTTTGAATAATTGGTATCGTGGTGTTCGAGCCACTCTAACGATGGGTTTTTACTTGTTTCATTTAGAACGGCGATTTTTGTTTCTTTTTTAACGGAAATTTCTACTGCTGTGAGTAGTCGCGGTTTGACTTTTGATTGACATTTTCCCCGTTTTTTTAAGATAAAGCACGCGTATATCTTTCAATCAACTCAGCCTCCTCTCATATTTCAGGTTTAGACATATGTCAATGGCAGAAACACAGGAAACTGATAGATATTGCTTAGGAAATTGAAATGGAAAGGTTTAATGGACGTTTTTGCCAAAAAGTAAAAGCTTTGGATGCTACCTATTGATGCAATCTAAAGTTCACAAATCATATTTAATACCTCATCGGTTATTTTTATATTCATATTGACAATTATTAACATTTTGCCTACATTGTAGCACTAGAAGGTGTATTAAAGACGATTCGCACATTTCATTGACCTTTTGCTTGGTTGCAACATCGTCACCCGACTTAACTTATGCAAATTCGGAGGAAATTGATAAAGTCGCGTGGCTAAAAAGAAAAATGCACGAGTTTCTGCTGAATTGGGTTCGAATGACTCGTCTGCTGACCGCGCCGTAAAATCAGTAAAGTTTGCTCTTACCAACCGAAATGCGATTGTAAAACTCTGCAGAAATGGTAATCGTAAACTGATGTCAATGGCTTATTGGGTTTTTTCGAACTGCAAATGAAATCACCTGATCTTTTTTACCCAGAACATGAGTCAGCGAAAGCCAAAGGGACTTGTGTTAATTGTGCGGGTAAGCCCAGATTAACAAATGGAATGCAGTTCTACCATGGCACGCGTCTTACTTGCCAAGTGACCAACATTTTGGCTATTAACCGGCTCTGGCCTCGCTTCGAAGACACTCCATTTCATGGATACACTCTCGATTCGGAATAAATCTACCGACTTTCAACGGGCAACCTCACAACAACCACCGTTCAGATGCCCCGGGTCCCACCAACATTCCTGGCATAATTTCGTGTGTGAGTAAGCAAACGAGTTCGGGAAAAATTAGACGTCATGGGGCAGCTTCGGTTGCCGCTGGCAACAAAATTGGTGGGATTCACTCGAAGAGCTGTCTGGTGAGTGCACACAGACAAAGTGCAAAGTCGGGCTCAGCGAGGAAATTGGAATTTTTGGTAATCCCAGGACGACTCAGCACGTCTGAAGAATGCCTCTGGCGAAGGCCTGGTTCTGAGTGGGCTAACGAACGCAGGTGAGTTAGGTTACCTAAACAGGAACAATCAAGGCTAAAGAAATCGAGTAAACAATATTTTTCATTAGTCATTCCAATCAAAATTCGTATATTCGCCATAAGAAATTCCCAGCGGAAGCAACATGTTGCGAACAGTCCAGCAACACGCAAGTTCACTTTTGCCGGCTCGAAGTTTCGACTTCGATCCTAAGTTCGTTTCGAACTTAAATCAGCGCAGACTCGGACGGCTCAAGCTCAGAGATGCTCCACTTGAAAAAATGGCTATAAGCGAGCTAGGCCTGTTCTTGATCAAATTATTTCACATTTGTATGTAAGCGTATTTCTTTATTTTTTATCATTTTATTTATTTTATTAATAGTAAACTTCGTCGCAAGAGGAGAAAATTTATGAGCGCAGAAATAGTTGAACATTGTTAGTATCTTTTAATAACGCTTTCCAATAAAAAAGAATGTTGCTGTTTATAAAATATAACTCATCTCTTAACCGATATTTTCAAATCAATATGGTATTTTATTGGGTTGCTGAACGTGCATTTTTCGACCGAAAACAGCTGGCTAGAAAGGCGCTAGCCCGCCATCGCCGTTCAAGCCTAACATTGCGACTTGAACTTGCCGCCGTTCGAAGATGGGGCGTGCATGAGGGGCGTGGCGGGTTGGGGCGGGGAGGGGAGGGGCAGGTGTGCGAGCGAGCTTGGTTACCGCCGACGGCTGCAACAACAAAAGGCAAAACATCGCCACTCTGATGTCGATTTTTTTGTCGGGCCGCGCTTCGTTTATTTTAGTTAGTAACGAGATTTCGAGCGCTCAACGTTGACGTCGCGGTTGAAAATCGAAAATCGGCCAAAGGCGGCAGAAAGCTCACATAAGTTACAGTGCGTACTGCCTACGGTGAACCCACTGCGTCGGTGAGCGTGCGACTGTGTGCGGGCGCAGACATGAAGTGAATAAGAAATTGGAAAAGCACTAAAACATAACATATATGTAAAATATATATTCGAAAAAAAAAGAAAAAAGAAGTCAAAAACGCAAAAGAAAACGGCAAGAAACGTGGGTAAGGCCAAAAGCGAGGCAAAAACCGTCTAAAAAGCAGCAGCAACAGCAACACCACCAGCTCGACGCTAATCAGAAAATATTTCTTTAAGCCCATCGCGCGCCTCAAATCGAAAAAGCGCGAAATATTCACTTCGGCCCCAAATGTAAGTGTCTGCATGTGCAAGTCGATATGTGCCATATGTGGCCAACATTGTACAACAAACCAGGGGACACTTGTAGTAATATATTGCAGTGGCAACAAAATAATGCAAAGGTTGTTGATAGTCGGTTGCCAAGAGTGAAATTATTGAACAAGAAATCCGTTTCCATCCACGAGGGTTTGCTTGGTGATTTGGGCCCAGCTAAACGGGGGAAAATGCGCCAAAATATTTACGCGCCGTAAATATTCAGTTGTGCTGCCATGGCCAAGGATATATAGCCCATTGCAGTGGTTCCAGAAAAATATCATATTATGTAGAGGATATTTTTAAGAATTATTCTAGCAAGTATTAAAAGTAAATTCATGAAAAAATTGCAGGCAAGCAGAAAGTGAAAAGAAACAGCTGAAACTAAGTAAAAGCTGACTTCAGGAGGCAAAGTGGCAAGTTGAAACTAAAAACTGAGACAAAAAACCCTAATAGATCAGCGAACCTATGAATGATAGAAAATTCGAGTGAACGTGAACAGAAATTGTTGAAAATAAAATTTGTTTAAGAGCTGCGGCTCTTAGCAGATCACATTTCAAAGAAATACTTGAAATATGTTTACCGCTTACCCACACTTCCTGTGAATTTGCGAAGCTGTTCGAACAAATCGTATGGTTAATTCGCAGTAAGTGAAGGATGATGTGTCTATGCGATTGTTTTGATTCGTATACCCAACTCATAGTTCAATTACCTGTTCAATACCCCTGATGGCAAACAATTGAAACGCTCCTGAACTATGCACCATTATTGCTAGGTATTGCTCTTTATTTCTGTGTACTTTTTGGCGTTCACAAATTGTTTGGATTTTGAGCGGCGGCGGTGACTAAGTGCTGATTTTTACGATTACAGGTGTTTGAAATGTATTCATAATTTATGAGCGACTCTGCTGCTGCTGCAACTGATGTGTGTGGCAGATGAAATAAAGCCATTTGACAGCGGCCCAGACCTCACAAGGTTCATTGCTACTCGTCACTGTATTTTTCCCCCAGTTTCATGTAGGCTTGCTGTATAGATAATAAACATTAAGCCTAATGGCATTGTCGCTGGGCTATCCAGCTACCAGCTACCAACTACCAACTACAACGGGCATAAGGCGAGTAAATCAACAATAAACAAATGGCAAGCCACGCGTGTCTGCCTTTTAGCCGTGGCTTGTGAACTTTTCTTGTGGGTTTTTCTCCTTTTCTTATTTTTTCCGTTTTTTTCCTCTCCTGACAGCTTCTATAGCGTGTTAATTCAGACGGTATTGTATTGAAATCTTGTTCCTCAATTTTTGGCACATTCATTTGTGCGGCTTCTGGGGATTCATTGCAAATTAAGCGTCGCTTCTTGCCGATTATAGATATTTCGCAGCTCGTTGTCGGTGGGTCGGTCATGCGGCACAAAGTCAGC